CGCAATTATGCGTAGCTTAACGGGTTGCTCGTGGTAAATAAATTAACTGGTAGGGGAATAAACTGTTTCGTGTGGTCCTTTGGAGGGTGAAGAGGAGGGTGGAGAGTGTTTTGTGTTCGCACGCACACGCGGCTGTTTGTGGCGAATAAGGGAGTAGAGCGTGCTTGGTGTCCGTACCTGTACGATCGTTTACAGTATTGTTCAGCGCGCGTGCCTACACGACTTTTCGGTGGTGCCCAGCGCTCGCGTACCTGCGCAATCGCCTACAGTAGCGCTTTGCGCTCGCGCGCGTGCGCGGTTGTTTACAACGAAGCGGAGCGCTCAGTGTGCGCGTGCCTACGCGTCTGGTTTCGGTGGCGTTTAGCGCTTGTGTACCTGCGCAATCGCCTACAGTAGCGCTTAGTGCTCGCGCGCTTGTGTGAGGGGGTGGTGGTCGCGCACCCGCGCGATTGTCTAATAGCGAATTAAGCGCCTGGCGTGCACGAATATGCAGCTGTGTAAACAGCCCCGTTAAATCGGAGCCAAGTAATCGCGGCGTGTTTGTTTTTGCTTAAGAGCGTGGGTGGGAGGGAATCCCACGGGGGCGCGCCGCGCCCGTTTATTCCCGTGCAGGACGGGGTTTTACTTTGCGAGCGCGCTCACCGCGACACGCCGCCGTTGAACAGGGTAGCGCATCGCAAGCGCAAAGCGTACGAGCTGCTAATTAAGCTACGCAAACGCGGTCGACATCCCAGGCAGAGGTACAGGGCAAGACATTAGGGGTCGGTAGTCTGGACCTGACAGAGCAGCCAGGGGGGTAGCGGTATGAATGGAACGTGGGAGTCGGTGGGCAATGGCCCCGACAATTCAGTGATGGCGGGGGACGGTAGCCCCCACATTACACACAAATAGACATTCTTGGCTCATTATAGTAGTAATAGGTGGATGTTAATAAAACATGCAACGAGTCGTATTCAAAATCCCCTGACTGCTGTATTGTCACGTAAAATTGTATCCTATCACCAAAGTTAACGTTTAATATCATGATGTTTAAGAATATTCATATGCAGTGGTTGACATTTGAACGTTTCAACGTTCCAGGCACCAGGGTTTGTTAATTCAGAGAGTGAAACGGCAAGGGACATTCTTGTTTCTTTGCCCTCGTGTGGGCAGCGAGTTTTTATGGTGTTTTGCCATGGGTGCTCCCTCGCATAAATTTATCTCTGAGAAAGTTCCCTGGGTCACTCCTTGCCCATGCAAGAGTTACCTTATTTTCCCGCATATAACCCGCAGACGCATATACCCCGCGAAAATAGCGTTTTGTGTAAAACTAATTTCAGATAGCCCGCACCTTCATATACCCCGCATGCATTCATATCTTTAACGTCGTTACCGCAGCTTAACGTCGTTACCGCAGCTTAAATCATATTAATACGAAGTTTATATGTGTAATACATTCCACTATCAGTTGTTAACATTAAAATCATAACGTGCACAAAGAAAACAAACTAACCGGAAACGAGTGAACTTAAAACAGTAAATAAGTAACAAAAGTAAATATCCAATAAATAAGTAACACATAACTGGTAAGTACAGTTTTAGCACTGGTAGATTGCGCACTGCGCAGACAATAGCAGCACTACGGTCAAGCCATTGCCTTGCCCCGACCCCCCCACCTCTCTCTCCCGTCACTACCACAGATCTTGCTCTGCCCCAACCCCCAACCCCCCTACCCCCAGCTCTCCCGTCGCCGGTAAACAAAGTGCTTTAGTCAAAGGTAAGTGTTGCATAGTGGATAGTCCTACCATGAAAAAATTTAACGAGTCATGACATGTCACACGTGTAAAACATGTTTGGGATAGCCCACACCTCCATTACCCCACAGGGTCTTGTTTTGTTTGTAAAAAGTGGTATACCCCGTGGGTTATATGCGGGAAAATACGGTATTCCTTTATGGCCTGTCATGAACGTGTTCCTCCCTTGCAACATGAGTTGTGTTAATTCCTGGGAAGCAAAATATACTACGGATTCAAGGCCCCCCTCAGCTCTGGTTATTCTTATCATGCCCAACTGATTGATGTCTCTTGCATTATATGTCCCTGCTTCTCATCCTAGTGCTGTTTTCGCTTCGTTATCTTGTTTTTCGGCATGCAGGGAACACATATTTGTCTCCAAGGAACCATGGCATTAAAAATAGACAATATCACACTTAATATATTTTTTTGGGGAAGGCATATATACAACACTTGTCAACAACACAACGTGGACTACGTCAGAGGCCTCCAACCTTTTTGGCACCAGGGATCGGTTTCGTGGAAGATCATTTTTTCACGGACGGGGGGGGGGGGGGGTCATAATTGGGTCTTTCCCCCTTTTCAAATAAGCTCTCCATCGACGTTTGTTTTTTACTCATTTTGGCGGAATGGACCGGCTTACTGGGGGTATTTGCCCTAAGGACTGCTGCCCTATGGCAGTCACCTCGACACTACTGCGAAAAACTTGGTAGGACCCTCCTGAAAGAAGAGTCGTGAGACTCAGTGAGGTTCTCGTGGGATAAACAAGCGGGCTTTACTCGAAATAAACATCTTCAGAAATAAATCAATGCAACGTTTAATTAATAAGAATCAAGACAAGACGATATTTTCCAAAATGGGGCGATACAATTACCGTGAGTCTCATATCGGACAAAATAATAACAGCACAGTAGTAATCATTAAACGAATTTTCACACAAACAAAGAGATAAACACCCCCGTATAGCCCAAACAGACTGTTGGGTGAAGTGCTGTTAGCGAGCACCTATCAATGCCGACACGGCAGACGGGACAGTGGGTGGCTAGGACCACGTATGACAGCCCTTGTCTTCCCAGTGGAGATGTTTACACACCGAACCAGGCACTAATTTGAGGCTTTGTCGACCTACACCGGTTCAAATAATAGTCACTGGTGTTGGCCATGAATGGGAATCAAAATCGCGTCGCCGGGTTCGTAGCGCAGCACACGGACCAATGCATCACCGTTCCCCACATAACGCACACATTGCCATGAAACTGGAATTTCCAGCCGCGACTCGGAGGCTCTGCGGAGCCAGGCTCAGGTTTCCTGCTTCTCACAAATAACGTTCGACGAAACAGATGAGCAGCCTTCAGAAGTCTCTTAAAAGTGGCAGTCCATGGATTTGATGATGATGCTGCTGGTCCGTATGTGCTGCAGGGATGCAATTCCACCACACAGATCGGTGGGAATGAGAAGTTGATGGATGAGGACATTAGTGTCCGTGTGTTTACCGAGGCCCGTGATTTGAGGACGGCCAGGTAATGTGGAAATAAAAACAATAAATAAAGACAATGATATATTGGAGTACAGCATCGTCATATAGCGCAGGACACGTTTCTGATCCACGCATCGTCATGAAAACGAGCACAACTTCACTTTCCCCGTGGGAAAGATAATCACAATCATCGTTATGAATACTAATCCTCAGGATATATTATTTATATCAAATTCACGATCACCATCCATGAATCTTAAACATAGAACAAAATCGGCATCATCGTCTTCTTACAACAGCGTAAAAAAATATAGATGATAAAACATAACGTACAGGTATTTGGCAATCCACTCCTGGATGGAGGCCTTCGCGCACCATGTCGGTCTTAGTGGTTGTTTGACCATACCTCAGCACACTGTTCAGTGGGAGGGAAAGTGGTAGCCAGGACCGGTTCAGATGTCAATCACCAATAATGTGTTCGAGGTTGCCAGATCTATAGCGCCGTGCGCCAACCACTGTCACCATGCACCACTCCACATCAATCACTGCCATAACTGATTATTACGTCCATCATCTACTAATTACAATGATCTTAAAATACCACTGATACGATTAATGATCATAAATCCTCACGATGACTCTTACCCATGTTAGTAAATAGGTCCTCTTCATCGAGCGCGTGTGACTTCGGTCTTGAATTATCTCTTGAGCATCCGCACTTATATATAGTTGCATGGTGACCTAAAAGTGTATGAACATACTGTCCTATTTAGTATCTCTGTAAAGTAACCTCTTGATCTCTTTGTATGAATTTCAATTGTAAATATTGACCACGCTTCGGTGGCATTGAGTGCTCAAGTTATTGCAACATTTTATCAACGTTAACGGTCATCAACCACAACCTCTACCCCCAAACATGAAAAAAAATGGGTTTTTGGGATGATGGCAAATTGAGCACACTCACTGCCCACTTCTGTTGGCGGTCTTTGTTCTGTTGTGGAGTAGTTGATGACGTCATGTCACCCTTGGGTGTAGAATGGATGACGGCTTGTCACCCTGGGATATATAAGCGGGGACCGGTGACGTGAACGGGGTCGTCGTCAGGGGCTGGGAATAAAGAGGTTGGAAGCGGGGACCCAGGGTAGGGGGAAATTAGCACCAGGCTAGGGTGGCTACTTCACCCGGCCGACCGAGTTTGCTGATCCTTCGGTCGGTGCTGAGGGAAGAGCCTGAATAGCCTGGGTGGGTGCTAGGGACCTCCCAGTACCCTTTCCCTGGGGAGTTATACGACAGTCCATAATAACTAAGTCATAATAACTAAGTCGTAATATATAGGCCACCTCGAATCGAACAAATGTCCTCCAGTCCCCTCCTTTAGCTACAAATATTTCCACGTGGCCCAACCTACGTGGTCGATCAGCGCCCTCTCCTCGTCGTCGCTCCGATGAATTAATTTCCGCAACCTGGGCTATGGCTGCTGCTCGTGCTTCGAACTGTTGTCCTAGTGCTTCTCCGTGTGGCTCTAACGCTTCGCCGCTAGAGCTCGGAGTGGCCATTGCCACTGGGCGTGGCGTGTTTCGCGCCAATTTTGCTCCGATAGTGGCAACGTGTTGTTCCCGCCAAATTCTTTTCTACTCCCTCCGGAGGTTGCCCTTCTCCATCCCTTTGTTTTTCCTCCTGTTTCGTAGCCTCCGATGGGCTCCCCGGCCCGGGAAGGGTGGATTCCTTCCATTGTGGTGCCGCATTCTCACCCGTCAACAGCGCTGTCTCCCCGGTCCCCGGCGCCGATGTCTCCCGTGCTCCATCCTGGTCGGAGACCATCTCGGCCATCGTGGTTGCTCGTGGCGTCCTCACTTCTGGGTTTTCTGCTCGAACCGAGTGAGAAGAAGTAGAGGCTGCGGGCGCCAATGGCGCCGTCGCCGGGCCAGCAGCTATCTTGTCCTCCCGCAACTGTTTCAGGAGTAGCATTACCGCCTCCATGAGTTGATCAACTCGGTCCGCCCAGGGCCTCCTTCTCTCGCGGGGTGGAGGGCTCTCAGACGAGCTGCTCCTCACCTTTCTGTGTCTTCTTATGGTTTGAGGAACCGCCTCGACCATCTGCAGACCGTACTGTCTCCGGATCACGGCTGTCCGGGGCACTGGGAGTGGAGGCGCGTTCTTCGCAATGGAGTGGACAAAGTACTGCACCACCGTTATAACCCCAGTAGGTGACTACTTCATCATCACTTCTGGATGAAGGGCCTTGCAAAGCCTTCACCATCCCTAAAGTATGCAAACTTGGAAAAAATCTGTTCGTGTGATATGGAAGAATACGATGAGCTATGAAGCTCTTTTATATAGATGTCCAGTAGGGGCGGGTCAGAAAGTCACAACAACATATACAAAAACTGATATGAGTGCAAAGTATCGGAAAGGTAAGCAAGTTACTAAACATAGATAAAACATATAAAGTGTACAAGTCCAAATTTAATAATAAACCTTTGCTATGGGAGCTGTTTGCAGGGCATGGAGTGGGAACTTACACGTGAATTCAGCACAGGGCCACGCTGACTAGAACAGCTTATCTACGCAGTGTCATAAATTTTAAACATGCATATTTGGAGATGCAGCTACGTGGCTTAGAGGGCGGAGCACTGAGCAGACACCACTGCAACCCTGGATGATGGCACCACGGTCGCGAGATTTTAAATACCTTGCCTGGTATACAGAAGGTCGTTGGCTAAATCCCAACCCTCACACCTGCATATTTGGAATTTGCATGTTCTCTCTGTGGTCGCGTGAATATTTCTCCAGGCCATCCACATTTAGAATCAACATGCGTTTAGAGTATTTGGCTACTCTACATTTCCACTTGATGATAAGCCACTTCGTTGATCTATCATTTGTGACCAGGTCGCTTCTGAAAAGTGCCACATAGCTCAGTGGGCCTTACCTGGTAAGTAACAATTTTAGTTTAAGCTTTAGATTTAATGCATGTGATTAAACCAGACCCCCAAGTTCAAATAGTTGATTGGCTCAGCCCAGTCACCAAGGGCTACACGCAACAAAAACCCAGCAAAGTAACATTTGGTTATCAGAGGAGGGCCACTTTCGCAAAATATACACCATCAGCAGTGTGAGGGCCACCACAAATTTGAAACCACTGGGTTTGATAGCATGATGGGGGTGTATTCACATTTGTGTAAGATCCGCACGTTGGAATGACTGGCAAGGTGAAGTGGCTGCGTTACCGTTGCACTGCAGGGGTACCGTGACGCCGTCGTGGATGGTGGACGCAGCCTCCAGGGTGCTTCTTGTTTGATGATCTCACGGCGCGTGCCCGAGTGAGATTTCGTTCACGCGGAAATTCGATCTCGTTCGTCGAAAAGTGTCCATAATTTGTCAATTGTGTTCACGCCAAATTTCGTAAAAAAAAGTTTGTAAATCGAGAAAAAACCTGGATGCTTAAGACACCCATTAGCAGACAATGCCCACTATGGGAAATTAGCTCGTGATGACCTAAAAGCTATACATATACATCTACAAAGAGGTTTGGACTTAAACTTAACTCTTAAAGGCTACAGGTAGTAATTTATAGATGTTATGGTTTCTATTAAGGTTAGGTTTCATCTTTAATTTCAGATGGAACATGCTTCTGGAAATTATTTATTAAAAAACTACACTTAGAACACTGGCGAGTCCATTAATTTAGTTTTTTGTAAACCTCTTCATAAGATTATAGGAATAAAGGGCACAATAACAATACAGGATGAGCATGGATAGGCATCCCTTGCACCCCTACTCAAAACCAGCGTTCCAGAAAATACCGATTGAGAAATGAAACCCTGGTGAGGTGGTTAGTTTTACGGTAAGGTCTAAAGGTTATATAATAGTTAAGGTTTGGTCTAAACTCTAAATGGTTAGGGCTACGACTTGCTGTTATAGATTGGTTTCAAGGCTAAGAGTAAGGAATGACATTAAAGTGAAGCCCGGATGTTTGGGGTTTAAAGTAGTAAAATCAAATCTGTTGATGATGAATTAAGGCCACGTTTACACAAGGGTTAGCGTTAAGGATCGGGCGGGTTTAAAGACTTAAAACTTTCGTGACTGCAGGAATTCATATTCTTTGGTTCTTTCGGTAAAGTCACGTCGATAAAAAAATAATAAAAATAAAGTGAATAAAAATAATAAACAAAAAAACATTAATGTAGACCGTAGCCTGGTTATTAAGCTGGGTGAGTGTACTGGCAGTCTATAATGTAGACTGTAGCCTGGTTATTAAACTCGGTGAGCGTACTGGCAGTCTACAATGTAGACTTATTCTTGCTTCTTTCGGACCATTTTTTAAGGTAACGTGGCATGGTTTTTGTATTGCTCAACATCCAAGTTGAACACTAAATTTTTATTTTATTTTGTACAAATGTTTATAAATGTATGACCGAGATAACAAGGATTACGCACCCATAGTTCAATGACACTGGCTCGTCTACAGCCATTTCAGGCGATGTCTTCGCATGAGCATTACGAGAACTGCAAGTCCTCGCTTAACGCATGTTCACAACGCGTTTTCGCTATTTCGCCGTTCTTCCGTTCTTCCCTGCCCGTAATTATAATGCAGAATACGCCCGTTAAAACGCGGTTTCTGAGTGGTCAACGACGAACTATTTTATTGAGCTGCGTAGCCGAGTACTGCGATACAGTAACGCGGTGGCGTACCCTCAGTTATTTGTCACGCCATCTCTGTGTGCGCGTGTGTACATCGGAACTCGGCAAACCTTATTGTTACATTGTGGGGAAACTGTTTTCGCTGAACGTGTCGGTCGCTTTCCACGGCACTCTGCAGGAACACATCTAACACGCGAAACGAGGACTTACTATACTGGGGTTGCTGCAGTATTTCACGGGAAAGTATAACATTTTCACGTGACGATTATGGCAATATCAGTTTCCCATAACGTTTAATTATACTTGGAACTTGATTGTAGAATTTTATGGTATTGATTTGTATCGTGTGCATTGCTGCAATCCCAGTACAAATAGGATTCCTTTAAAGTTCTCATTGGATTTGACTGAAAATTATTAGCAAGTCAACTCAACGTTCATTGCAGCTTCACAATCTACAACACTGATAATTCACATGCTGCATTAATCTGTACAGGAAAATCATTGCAGCTATTTAATTGGACCTTCAAAATATTTTTCACGTCATTTCGTTCATATTTCATCAGGAAATACGATACCAATAAAATACACGAGTTCAATTCAAGCTCACGGCAAACACCAGTGATAATTATTTTAACCGGTCCCAGGCCTTCCCAAAGTCGAGTCGGCCTCAAATGAGTACATGGTGCGGTGTGTAAACATTGCCACTGGGGAGACAAAGGTGGTCAGGCATGGTGCTCCCTAACAGCACTTTCCCCAAACGTCTATTGAGGCCTTAAGGGGGATGTTTGTATTTGTGTGCATACTAGAGCCAAACGTGTTAATGTGCTTGTATAAATGAGCCAGCTGTATACAGGTCAGTTATATAAAAGGTGAGCTTAGTACAGATGACTTGGTTGTACACACACGAGTCAGGTGTGTAGAGGTGAGTTGTGCAGGCAGGTGAGACGAGGTGCGTAGATTCGGAGTCTTCACATGCGGTTGATATATATAAAAACCGCATTGTATTACCATATTGTCTGTGTGTGCAGGGGAGTACAGGTTTATACAAGGATTCAAAAGCCAGCCTGAGTACTACTGATAAGACACAGAATGTTGAAAACGATTTAGTTTGCTTGAACTGAATCAAGAACCAACTCTGCTGATAAGACGCACTCCCAGAAGGCCGGGCGGCCGATCAGTTATGTAAAAACTTTATTTTTTTATGCGGAGACACAAATATGGGAAGGAGGGGGGGGGGGCGTTTATTTATTTACTTTGTTGCACGTGTGCGCTCGCCTGCTGTGTCCTCAATGAGGTCCACCCCTGCCCCGGCCCCCACCTCGTCCCCTTCCGCGCCCCCCACCCCTCCCCCTGCCTCCCCGCCACCCACCCCGCCCCCCACGAGCCGCCGTCCCTGGAAGGCTCCCAGCCGAGCGCCGCAGCTCCTTCCGCTCGCGGTGGTGCTGTCTCTCGGCCGTGTGGCGCCGCTCCTCCCGCTCCGACTGCGGCGGGGAAAGACAAGCGCGGCACTCCGGTTAGCGGCGCGCACGCCTCCAACCACGCGGAGGGCCGCATCGACCACGGCGCCAACCGCATCGACCGCGACGCGGTGTCGACCACACACGCACATGTGCAAGGGCCCGCGCACACACACACCATGTGTCTTTCCGCTGCACCTCCGATTAGCACGATTGGCTGTGTAAGGTGTGAAAGGAGTTCAATATACATACGTACATGTGTGCTTGTTGAACAGTTATACTTGGGGACTTGTGATCGTGGAGTGTTTGGATGGTGTTTGTGTTGGTGGTGGAGTGTGTGGGTGACTAAAACACAGACATTTGGCACAGTGGGCAACACAGTTGGTGCATCTGCAAGTCACCTCAGTCAACCCATGGCACTTAGGTCTGTTCTGTGACCTCCTGCTAGCTGGCCTTTGACACTTCACATGGCCTCAAAGTGCACCTAGCATGACACAAGTGTCATGGCGACGCCACCGCCACTCAGTGCTGAACGGCGGTTGTTGGGTGGTGGAGTGTGTGGGTGGTGGAGTGTGTGGGCGATGGGCAGTGCACCACCTCGTGTCTAAGCAACCGTGGAAGATGACATGGGAATTAGTTAATAATAAAGTATTAAAGCTTTCGTGACTGCATAAAATTACTCATTGGTTTTTTCGGTAAAGTCACGTATGTAGAAATACAATAAAATTATATTAAAATAAAAAACAATCACGACGTTTCGATCGCTTGTGTTGTGATCAAAACGTCGTGATTGTTTTTTGTTTTAATATAATTTTATTGTATTTCTACATACGTGACTTTACCGAAAAAACCAATGAGTATAGGAATTAGTTGTCAAGCCACATCAACTGCCCTCTGGATCCACACTCGGGGCACTCCTATGCCTTGAAAACAGCCAATGACACCCTCATTTTGAATTCTGGTATCTGGAATAATCAATATTAAGTGACAAACCAAATTTAATGCACAGTCACGAGGGTGAGCGTCAATCCATGACGGATGGGGGAAACACGGGTTCGAGTGCAGGATCTCAACGATGACAGTGTTGCATCCACGACATGGCCATTATGAACCCCTGGGCCAACCCGGCCTTTCAAAGAGTCACCTTCTTGAGACGGAAAGTCAACTCCTTGCTGCCCACGGAAGAGTGTGCGAGGCCCACGGGAAGATCAGACTCCTGTTCCTTCACCCGATCGGCAAGCGAGGACCTGGAGCCAGAGACAGGGGCGCATGGTGGATCGTGCGCGCTTTTGTTAACGGCCTCTTGCACACACGCCGGTCTCCGGTTTCCTCGCACATGAAGCCAAACGCATGTATTAACGAAATTGTCTGAACACCGAATGGCGATCGAACGCGACAGGAATATTGTAGTAAAACAGTGAGGTGCCAAGACAGAAGCGACACGAGTCTTGGAGAGCAGGGGAGGGGGGGAGAAGTTGTACGCACGTGAGGCTTTTCCGCTTCTTTGCAGCATCCTTGAAGCTGTTGAATTCCACTCCTTGCCGGATTTCGTAGAAGCGTGGCTGCTGCTGCTGCTGCTGATCTCTTGCCGTCATCGTCCCGGCAGCAGAATCGGCTTCCTCATTGCCTTGCCACGGTCGTTTCCTTCCCGAAACGTCTGTCTTTCCACGGCCACCACCACCAGACCCCGGGCCGGAGGTCGCCCCTCGCCGCGACTCCTTGCCGGACGCCTCGAGGCGAAGCAGCTTGTACTGCCTCTGCACTTCGGGGACCCAGGAGCGATCGTCGTCCGAGCTGTCATCCGAGCTGCAGCGGCCGTCGGGCTCCGAGTCGTTCTCCTCGGTGGCGGAGATTTTCTGAGGATGACAGAAGGCGTTGGGGGTGGTGAGGGGGGTGTGCGGGGTGGGAAGGAACAGCACAGGGCTCTTAATGGCCATGTTGGAGGATACAGCAAGTCGACCCAGAGCAGGCCCAGGGGGCTGGTTCAGACATCAGTCGCCAGTGATGTTAACCGCAGTCGGGAATTGAACCACAGGTCTCTGTGTTTGTAGCGCAGTGTGGAAATCGCCGCATGCTCACTCACAGTGACTCACCCACACGAAAAGACAATACACAAAAATTCCCCGTGTAGCCTTTACAGACTGTTGGAGCAAGTGCTGTTAGCGGGCACATATGAAGGCCGGCACGGCACACGAGGAAGGGGTTAGATGGCCAGCAAAACGCCTGGATGTCTTTGTTTTCCCAGTGCTGATGATTGCAAATCACACCCGGTACTCATTTAAGGCTGAGTCGACCTAGGAGAGGGCACAGGACAGGTTTAAATATTCACCACTGCTTCTCTCTCTCTCTCACACACCTCACTCACCCACACTTACCGACCCCACTCTCTCACACCCCCCCACACTCTCTCTCTCTCCCGCTCTCACCCTTTGCTCTGCCTCTCGCTCCATGCCCTTGCGCTTGCGTTTGCGTTTCTCAGTGGCGCGCGACACCACGGGGTTGAGCAGGCGGAAGTCCTCGCTCTGCTCGTCCACCTGGAAGTCTGGGTTCTCGAACATCAACCGGAAGCGGTCGTCCTGCAGGATGCTGCCCACCGACGCCTGCGCACGTGAAGTGGCAAGGGCAGGAAGGGTGGGGGTGGAGGACAGGGGGGTGGGGGGCAGAGGGCCAAAGATGGAAGTCAAAGGGCAGAGGGAGGAGGGTGGAGGCCGGAGGGCAGACACCAGGGAGAGATTTAAGAATTCAGTGAAATAGCAAAAAAAAAACACTCTTTTCGAGATTGAATTTTACATTGTCGGGATTAGGGTTAGGTTGACGAATTTTCCTTTCTGAACGATCGCAGGAAGCGATGCATCACCTTGTGTGCGGAACATTCTACTGAAGTCTCATCACTGAATGACCTTTGAGGCCCCTCAAATGACATTTTGGCGACATGCCCAGGGGCACTGCACTGTGTAAACATTTTCTGCCACGTAGAAATATTTTTGTTGGATGGTAATCCAGAATGTTCATTCTCAGAGCAGGATTTTAGCCAAATGCAGTTGGAAAATAAAACTAATTTGACGCGAATGCTTTCTTGTGTGCAGGCATCGGTGATCATGCCAAGAAGCCGGTTTAATCACGGGCGGCCAAAATCCGGATTCAAACGCAGGTTTACCAGTGTTGCTGACTCAGTGTCTCTAACGCAGCATTACCCCTCTCCAGAACTGCCCGGCCACGTACATTTTGGCACAATTGTTCAGCTGCTGCGTAAGCCTTGCAAGTTCTCAGGGAAATTCCCCTGCATCAGCTGGTGACAGGTGGAGTCCTGCATTTCACTTTTAAGCATTACCAATCGACACACAGCGGTCAGTTTCCTGCTCGGGGAAAGGCCCCAACCATGGATTGTGCGCCGGACGCCCTCATAATGAATAAGTGGGGCCCCAGTGATTGGTGGTGACCTCTGACCTTCTTGCGCTTGAGGGCTCGAGAGGAGGTTGCCTCGTCCTCCTCGTCATCCAGCAGCTTCTGGGCGAGGTCGGCGTTGACGCGGGGCAGGCGCTGCTCACACACACACACACACATGGGCGCACGTGTGAGTGTGTACGCACGGGCATGTATGTGTGTGTACACACAGGTGAATAGGTGCGAGTGTGTACGCACGGGTGTGTACCTGTGAGTGTGTACATTCGAGTATGTTCAGGTGTATACACACAGGTGTGCATACATACCCGTGTCTACACACACACATGGCAATGCATCGCACCATGTTAGAGAATGGTCCAAGGACGTGGCTATCACAGAACTTATTCTGAAATCTCTTCGAGTGACCAAATCCACACACGAGGAGATATTTTGGCATGGGCCCTGCTACAGAGAGATATTTGCCACGGCATACAAACTACTGCTTTTAAATTCTTAGTCCTGGAAATGTTACAAATTCATAAAAAAAAATTCGTTTTTGTTGCACAGCCACTGGCGACTGGGCTACAACAACTCAATACTCGACTTGAGCACCTGGGTTTAACCGAACCCAGCCTATCGGCGCTCCCGATTGCTACGGCGCCCAGTCCCAGCTCATGAGAGCCGCTCCCGACGTATCGACGCGTCGGGGGGCACGCCCGGTCGGCGGGGCCAATCGGCGGACGGTCAACGCGGAGGGGGGGGCGGTCCGGCGGGAGACAGCTTCTTTTCGGTAAACCCACCTTGGTCTGGACTCGCTGAACTCTGCCCTCTTCGATCTTCTCTCGAATCTTCTGCTTGCGGTACTCGTCGTAGGCGAACGGGTTCGCCATGGCCTTCACCTGAAAACGCACGCGGCATTCCGTGTCACAATCATAACGTTCACATTCGAGAATGGCGGAGACTTTTTTTTAACAGATGTCCAACGGGACGGGAGCGCCTGGCCTCCAACAGGGCCAGGCCATCGCCTCAAGGAAACCCATTTCAAAGACAGTCGGGTAAAAGAATATTAAATGAGGTGATGATTCACCCACACCGCCACCCCTCCCACCAAGCTCACCCAGACACTAGCATCCAACTGCCCCCTACCCCCAGAGAATAGATGAATTACATGTGACAATTCGATCAAGAATCGATAATTATTTTTCATAATTTTTATCGCCTCATTTGTACTGTTTCCCCGTTTGTCCCGTCGCGTTCGCCGTCTCTCGAACGCAAGATGAACCAGGCTGGGCGATGGCAAAGCAGCCAACAACAGCGAACGCCCGGGGAACTTTCAACAACAACTGTTTCATTTGCACAAAGCGTCGTCCATGCAAGACAGCACTCCCAAAAGGCTGACCAACTGTGGCACTGACGAATCGATGCATAATCCCAGTTGTAATTTTAAAAGATTAGGAATCACGAAATGGGGGATCGTGGTGGAGGGGGGGGGGGTGGTGGTTTGGCAGGGTGTGGCGGTGACGAGAAACAGAGGTGAGAAACGCTGGTCGGGAGAAACCATCATCGTGGCTCTGCGAGCGGAACCTTGTGGTAGAGGCGGATGTCGATGAAGAAGCCGTGCATGTAGGCGCGGAGTAGCGGAGAGCCCACGAGGTGCGTCAGACCTGCCACACGCACATGAGAGATGGCCACACGGCATGACATGTAGAGGGGGCACGCTCACACAGACACACACGAAGACAACCCATAAGGCCTTAACAGACTGTAGGCACAAGAGCCGTGAGCTATCACGGCACACGAGGGGGTTGTTGGCCGTGAGCAGGAATTGTACTCGAGTCGCCGGGTTCATAGCGCAGTGCGCTAAGGGCTGCACAATTGAATCGCTCAAGACCCCGATTAGTGACCCCGATCAGAAACCCCTAATCGCGACACCGAATCATGACGAGTCACCAAACCACGCAGGGAGCCGAGTGACCGGGTCGATTGTCGTCACGTGCCTCTACCGACGCGATTTTGTTCCTAGAGTATGCGCAGGGGTTGCATTCTCGGTGCTACGGAAATCCCTGCTGGTGCCGCCGTTGTGTTGGTGGTGTTGGTGGCAGTGCTGCTGGTGTTGATGCTGGTGGTGCTACTCTAGGAGCTGGTGGTATTGGTGGCGATGCTGCTGCTGGTGTTGTTGGTGGTGTTGGTGGCGGTGCTGCTGCTGGTGCTGGCGGTGGTATTCGTGGCAGTGCTGTTGCTGGTGTTGGTGTTCGTGGCAGTGCTGCGTGCTTACCGAGCGCTTCAAGGTCGATGCGCGTCAGGAACTTGTAGTCGTCGTAGACGGTGCTCTCCGGGTTCTCTTCCAGCTCCTCCGTCAGACTGTCGAGGAACGAGCACCATCGCGGGGCTGAGCCCAGCGCCTGAATGCGCAGATTGGAAAATCGCCCCCGCAATGCGCTCAAATGTGAGGACACGTGGCAGCTACCGCCTCCACCCCTCGACTGCCAGGGTAATGCTTGTTTCCACAGGGTCAGCTACCCCTAGGCTAGACCCCACAGCAATCACCCTAATGGCAGACGAATGCCCGTTTGCAGGCCAGGTGCCGAGTCACCTTGTGCCGCACAGGGATAACTGCTACTGGGGGTGCCCTTTCACGTGTGTTGAGATGTGATGGGAGGTGCTCTGAGACGCCGCGGTGTACGCGCGGGCGCTATGATGGACTTTGAGGTCACGGGACAGACCAAGGTGCTACCATACTGCCTCTACTTGATTACTGTGACATCGTGTATAAATCAGCCCCAAGTACTGTACTGAAGTAGCTTGATTCCATCTATCACTCGGCCTTAAGATTTACATTGGACTGCCCATATAGGACTCACCGCTGTGATCTCTACATTGGGTCAAACTTAACATCTCTTAATGTTCGACAACTTGTGCACCAGATCTAATTTATTCACGATGTACTTACAAAAAAATCCGCAGACTACCTGCTGGATCTCCTCTCTGTTTCAAAGAACAAATTTGACCTCATGTCTTCGCTCATTTACCAGCTTCACATTCCCTATTGCCGTACCAAAACCGGAGGAAGGGCCTTTGCTATTGATGCCTCCATGGTCTGGAATGCTATTGCAAATAAACTGCAACTTGAATCACTACCTATGAGATCTTCACTCAAAACTGCTCTAGAGGAGTTGTACACCCCTAGCTGCCACTGCTATTCAGTGGCCTAAAATAAAATAAAATGTTTCGCTCCGGATGACCGCTGCAAAGTATTATCTGTATTTTGATTTAGTGTGCTGATCTTAAAGGTGCATTAAAAAATGTGATACTCCGACTGATGCTCCTGCTGTTGTGGAGTGACTCATGCAGCCAGCTATGGCTGCAGGGTTTGGTGTTACATGTTATTTATGTAGTTTATTGTTAAAAATTCGGTCACAGTCCCTATGATCACTGTTACATTGCATTCATGGCTTTATTTTGGTGATTTCGAAAAGTTTTTTGGTTTGGCCATGTTTGTTGTAGTACGGAGTTAGACTGATGGCCTAAATCAAAGTTGTCTTGTGGTTGTTATTGTTGTTTGACTTGCATCCCACTGGGATTTTTGCACAGCGTTGGTGTACGGTGCTTTTTCTAGAATATTTTGCTGTTTTTTCCTGGATTTTCTGTTTGCACAGTCACATAGTCACTTTAACATGTTTTCTTGTTCATGTTTTTGTTTTTTGTTTTTGCGGTTGCACCCGATTAAAGAGCCGAATGGCTCACAGGGCTATACGAAACAAATGAAACTGAAAACTGAAAGGTGCCATGGATTAACTGAAATGACTGACAGATGCACAAAGACAAAGCGAGCACCTATGAAGACCAGCACAGCACACGAGAGGGTAGGTCGCCAGCACCACGCCCAGCCGCCTTTGTTTCCCTAGTGGTGATGTTTACACACCGCATCAGGTACTCATTTGAGGCCGAGTCGACCTAGGGGAGGTCCAGGACCAGTTCAGATAATCGTCACTGGTGTTGGGCGTGAGCAGGAACCCAACTCGGGTGGCCAGGTTTGTGGCGCAGTACGCTAACCGCTGCTACACTACTGCTCCCCACACACAAACGAACACACACGCGCATGCGACATCATCGGTAAACATCACAGTGACTCGTGCTACACAGCCCACGCACCGGAACGTAGTACGTGTTCATCTTGGACGCCTCGCACGCCAAGAAGAGCATCCCTGTGGGTTAGGGGTCGAGCCAGGGTTGGGGGTCACAGAAAAGAAATCGCATAAAACCGTGCGCACCCAACAACGAATGGTAAAGCAAACTCGATTAAAACAGAAAAAAAAAGTATACAAAGACGCAGAGGCGCCATCAATGATACGATGTAAGAAATATGAGTCAAAGAGAAAGGCAGGATGAGGGTGATGGAGAGACAAGAGTGATGGAGAGATGCGAGTGATGGATTGACTGGGGGGGTAGGGGGGGGTGACAGAGAAAGGGTAGCGATGGAGGTAGAGCTGAGGAGTGCGTTTACCGCGTACCGGAGTTGGGGTAGAGGCACATGTTGTTAATGTTGTACTCGGGCTCAAGGGAGGTGAAATTCTTGCCCTGCCAAGTCGCAAAACAAAACAACAGCAACGTTTAGATTTCGGACTGCCGTCCCTGGCAGCAGAGACACAAGCCCAGAAACAAGTGCAGCACTTTATCTTGTGCGCATACACGAGTGTGTAAGCGCGTGAGCGTGCGAGTGTATGGGGGAATGAGCGCGTGAGTGTACGCGAGCCTGTTGCGAGCAAGTGTAAGCGAGTGTAAAAGCATAGAAATATGTAAGCTCGTGAACATGTGAGTGAGCGAGTGTGCGAGTGAGTGAGCAAGAAAGAGTGCAAACGGGTAAATGAATAAATGTGAGCGAGTGTGAGCATATTTGCACTCGAGTGTGCGAGTGTCAAAAGAGTGCGAACGTGAATGTCAGTGAGCAGGTCACTGTGTAAGATCGAGAATAAACCGAGTGTACGAGCAGTGTATATGCACATTGGCGGATGACTATAGCATGCGTAGTATATCATAACTTATTATGCGCAAATGTAAATATGTATACGGGCATATGGATGTGTGTGTACCAGTGTGGCGAGCGGTGACAAGAGCACTTAGGACGCTGTGCTATGAAACCCGAGTTCGATTCCCAGTAACGACTTATCATCGTACGGCAAGTGATATGTGAAGCAGTGCTGGGCATCCTCTAGGTCGACTCAGCTTTAACTGAGTACTCAGCACAATGTTTAAATACATCAGCACCGGGGAGGGAAAGCGCGGATGGGCACCAGCCACACCACCACACCATCGTGTGCCTCGCTGACACCCAAAAGGTGCTCGTTAACGGCACCGGGCAGGGTCGCGTCGCGAGGGTGCCGCGCGCTCGCTCGCGGCGTTGCCCACCGTGTGCTGGTTCCACATCTTGACGATGCGCGAGTCGGCCGTCACCACGAGGTCCAGGTCGTCCCGGAACTCGATGTTCCGGATCGGCAGCCCGAAGCGGTGGTCCTTGACGAGGAGCGGGCGAGCCGAGCGGAGGTCGTACAACAGCACCTGGCCGGGCGGCACGGGCAGCGCTCACTACTGCACTCGCCGCTGGTCGTACAGCGGCGACGGGCAACCCAGACGAGTCGGTGGGCCACATGAGCGGCCCTCCTTCGCCCAAGTGGGCTTGACACCGTGCTTGTGCACTGATCATGTTCCCACGCAGAAGCCGAGACAAACTTGGACTAGGCCACCAAGAGGGGCTGCACGGTACGTATGCGGCTTGTGGGTCGCAGGTTGCCCACCACTGTTGTAGAGTGTTGGGGAGGGGGAGATCCATACCTGCCCAGTGCTGGTGCCCACAGCCATGTTCAGGGCTCCGTGGAACTTGAGTGCTGAAATAGCCGGAATGCCGGTAACCCTGAGACACAGACACGGCCGTCCAACAACGGGTCACAGCCATCAGAGATCCCGGCTCACAACTTAGAGGTCACAAGTTCAAATCCCAGCCATATGGGGGATCTTTTATCTTTGTTGTGTGTGAGTAGCGCTTACTCTGTATCAGGTGTGATGCTGCTAAGGGCGCAGTCAAGCACTCCGGCACGTGTACGGTCACGTGGGTCCCAGCACTCCACCCTGCCCTACAGAGATAAGACCCACACACCATAGCCTATTACACACCGCCAGGATAAAAGTTCTTGGCGAGCACCGATTTAGGCTGGCACAGCGCACAAGGCGTAGAGTGTGGCCAACGCCACACCAGGCCGTCTTTGTCTCCCCAGTGCTGATGTTTACACACCGCAGCAGGTGCTCATTTAAGGGGAGACCCAGGACCGATTCAAATATTCAACACAAGCGTTGGCCGTGAGCGGAACTCAAACTTGGGTCCTCGAGTAAGTAGCGCAGCGTGCTAACCACTACGCCACCGCTGCATACATACATTCATATACACACAGATTCACACAGGCGCATGCAATATCAAACACCTCCACACATATAAGCCCACACATATATACACATGCATATGAAGACACGAACACACGTACACAAGTACACGCGTGCGCACAACAGGCGCGTAGGCGGGAACAGGCGATAAACTGACCTCCGCTGTTCCGCAGGCAAACAGCTGATGCTCCGTATTAATCCCGCACACATTGTTGGATCTGCCGGTGCACACGCCATCGCACAGGGTGGTTCATTAGCAGTGCTAATATCAGCTTTTGTTGCCTTATAAAAAATAACAAACAATATAAAAGTGATAATTAGTTTGCCAACCCCGCAATGACCAGCGTGAAGTGTCATTATTGTTGTGTTTGTTTAGCCAGGAAGCCCCCCCTAAGTTTTCGTGACATTTTTTTGAAGGGTCTTGCTATGTTTTCACAGCAGGGGGCAACTATTGCCAAGGCACAATTCCCGATTGAGTAATCTGCGGCGTCATTTCTCAAATGTGGCAAATTTAAACCATGGCATCGGCATGCAATGGCCTGCTTTTATTAACGATGTCTCGGGATATTTAATGGCCATTGACTGTCACAAGCCAAATGTGATTGGATTAAGTTATTTTTCTTTGCAATCATCGGTAACAGGGATGAAACCATCAACTCACTGCACTTGGGGACCCAGTTTAATAGCGGGAAGCAGCCGAAACCCGGATTCGAACACAGCACCTCAGTGGTGCTGGCTCAGTGCTCTGACCCTGGAGGTTTCTGGCACCCAAGAAACTGACGTTACAATAACAATAATTTCTGTGCCCCCCTGCTCAAATGAGTAATAGGGCAACACTCATTTCAATTGGTGGACTATTCCAAATCTATATATGGAAGGGACCGGTCTACCCATAGGAGAATTCGTGCTGTAATATTGGCTGTTGATATGCCAGGAGGAGTAGGAGGAAGAAGTACATACGATCCATCAGTTTGAAATGAATTCAGGAAACGGCCTTGCTCCAGATTCAGGCGGAACACTTCGGAACTGCAGACGACAAGTGAACGCAGTGCACGGTGAACACAGAATGCAGTAAATACAGCAAACAGCGCACGATGAAAACAGAAGAGCAGTGAATACAGCAAAGTGAATACACACAGAGCGAATACTCTGTGGAACACACATATTTGCCACTGTTACTGGCCGTGAACGAGAACTCAAACTCTGGTTGCTGGGCTGGTAGCACAGTGCTCTAACCGCTAAGCTGCCGCTCCACAAAGACAAAGATTCCTCGTATAGCCTCTAACAGACTGTAGGGGCAAGTGCTGGTAGCAAGTAGCACCTATGAAGGCCGGCACGGCACACGAGAGCAGTGGGTGGCCAGCGCCACGCCCGGTCACCTTACTCGGGTTTTGGCAGGGAGACCGCGAGGGCAGCACGCACCTGGCTCCTACGAGGTAGAGGTCGCACGAGGGATAGTGGTAGGCGAAGTCGCGTCCGAACTTGGGGATGCGCGTGCGGTAGTAGATGCCGTTCTGAGAGTGGAACTCCACGTATCGGTCGCACTGCAGGAAAACCAGCTGCAGCAGACGGATGAAAACCCCCGGAAATAGTCACCACCCATGAGACAATCCGGAGCTCGAATCAGAAGCAGAAGGGCATTCACACAATCTAGGCAAGTTCGGAATTCAAAGTTCAAAATCATTCTAATAATATATATTTGGATAGAAAGTTTGAAGGTAATTGATTCAGTGTATTTTGGCATATATCACGTAGGAATAATGTGAATTTGTTTCACGATAATCCTCCACAACCCGACAGCGCCAATTCGAATCAAGTTGTCATGAAGGAAAATGTGCCAATTGCATTTGGTTTACCGGAGGAACGTTTACAAACAAGCAAAAATGTCAGAAACCTTTCCACGACGTTTCTCTGGAGATTACATTACATACAGCATCGTTAGGTGTTAACAAAAGCTCAGCTCTCACACGAGAACGAAGCTATTGGTCGTTCAAAAAGAGAGCCCATTATCAGCCTTGGCATCCGACCCTCAATTAGTGCCAGCGTCGACACACAGCGCCAACTCACAGCGGCGACTCCTCTAATAGGGCCATGCGATAGATCGTGCTGTAATTAGTTTAGTGGAGTACACGCCGAGTTAGACTCACCTTGGAGTAATCGTCCGAGAGGATTTCAAAGGTGACCACTGCAAGGGAGACACGGAAAGGCAGGGGGCGTGAGCACGGTCATGTTAATGCTGAACAAATTCCTATTTACCCAGCAAAGCCTCGTCGAGTCGTCAGACTGCCGCATCACTCGAGGATCCTGCGCTGGGATGTTTGGGGAGTGGAGTAGTTTGTTTTTTTATACGTGGGAGAAAAATTAAGTACCTTGGTTGAAAACCCACCACACGTATAAAAGAATGATAAAAATCTACTTGCTTTACTGGCCTCTGATGGCAGCACCTCATCGCCCTGCAAGAGAGTGTTTCATCAATATGAAATCACTTCACCGATGTTATCTCTACATAATCAGCGAGCACATTCACCTACCACAGCCCAGGTCCTCCTTCGCAATACACCTCTTTGTCTCAATCAAGGTCAACAAGAGGGTCAATCATGAGCCAATCCTTATTGAAGCCACCACAATTCGCCATCACTTCCTTCTGCCACATCTCACACCTGTTGAGAGTATTCCAAACTTTCAATTGAGGCGATGAAAGGGGCTCACCCTCTGAGTCCATGCAGCGCTCAAACTTCATGGAGAGCTGATTGACGTCATAACACCTCACCCGTGGCTTGTAGGTTCCTGCGCAAACACACGGACAACGTGATGACACAATAAAATGACATTTCAATCTATTACCGAGCATCCTCAACAATGTCTTCCAGTAGCTTGTTTAAGCAGACAATCCTTGGACCGATTTTCGAGTTGCCTTAGTCTCATCAGCAGAATGTGGCATGGTAAAACAATTGATGGGTGTTACAGCAAGTTCCATCCGTAATCACTGGATAGCAGATTTACGATTATATATGTACTCATAACATCAGTGACAGGGATGAAGCCATCAACTCACTACACCAGAGTTTCCCAAACTCCAGCCCTCTTGACTCACCACGCTACTTCTTACCTTGTTGCCAATGTACTCCCTATTCAAATATAAATTAACTGGTTCAACACTGTACGCGCCCCGATGATTGTTAAACAAATCCCACATGACGTGCTAAGTAATTAACGCTGTCTGCATCACATGGAACACGTGCACCATGTGTACACACGCACACGGTGACCATGTGCACGCATGCACACGCAGCATACGTGGATACACGCACGGGAACGTGTACACGCACGGGGACCACGTGTGCACGCACGTATACTGAGATCTTAATCTGAATTTAAATCGTCTCTATTCACGCAGACAGCGTTAAATTCTTGGCGCTTCAAGTGGGACATGTTTTACAATCATCGGGCGCGTGCAGCGCGTAACGAATGGGGAGGAGTAAATTGGTGAACACGGAAAGAAGGCGGCGCATGGTGGGTCGCGAAACCTGGAGTTTGGGAGGCCCGGCACGACACGATTTGCCGTGCCGGACAAGAACCAAACTGGCCTCATAACACCTGTGACTCTGGCTCGGGGCCAGCGAGGGTCGCATAAATTGCACGTGACAGTCAGTCAGTCAACACAGTGTCACCGCGTCATCTACACGCGTCTCCATGAGTAAATCGCAATATTATTATTATTGAATGTATGTTGAAATTCTTTCGCGGCGCACGTAGTCAAACCGTGCTAATCGGAGGTGCGACCGCTCGTGTTGGCCGCGTGCACACGTGCTGTCCCGCTGGTTCACCTGTTGCGAGCAGGTACTGCCCGTCCCGCGACACGCGGATGTTGTTGCACACGGTTGGCATCTCCCAGTCCTGGATGAGGTTGATTCGCTTGCGTACGGCTGAGAGATACACACACACACATGTACGCACACACGCGTTAATGCATGCACATGTGCGAGACATAAACAGGCACTCGGAGATGGCGATCAGCATTATAGCATACGCACTTGCTAGCATTCATGTCAGGTTGAGTGGACCAGAGTGTATTGAGTGGCTGCTGTCAGTGAGTAGTTTGCGGTGAAGGGTGAACGCTCACCGACATCTTGCTTGAGTAATTCTCGCCTCTTGCGGTCTGTGAGCCACTGCGTACAAACAAAGACAAAAGATTCCCCGTACAGGCATAACATACTTTTGGGGCAAGTGCTGTAACGAGCAGATATTAAGGCCAGCCCGGCACACAAAACGATGGGTGGCCTGCTCCACGCCCGGTCACATTTGTCACCCTAGTTGGTTATGTTTACACACCGCACGATGTACTCATTTTAGGCTGAGTCGACCTAGGCGAGGCCCAAGACCGGTTCAGATAATCGTCATTCGTGTTGGCCGCGAGCGGAAATCGAACTCGGGTCGCCGGGTTCGTAGTGCAGCGCGCGCTAACCACTGCGCCACCGTAAGATAAATTTGCCAAATGAACATCCAATTACTTGGCTGCGACCCCGTCATGAATTTTAAACCATCGTCCATCATCCCAAATCACGTGTCCTGCCCGAGCTCACCAAACTTTTCTTCACAGTTGGACTAAACAGGTTGCGTTCTTTTTTACTCTCCGATCCACGCCTTCCTTTTTTGTGTCTGGGGTGCAACCCCAAGCGTGCATGGCCTAATCACCCAGCGCACACTCCTGTGTAACCGGCAAAGTAAACACGAAATGGTTGGACCGACGATTCGAACTACAAGCCAACGTCGTATGCTTTACCGGCCAAGCACTTTCTCGACTCTCCCATTCACCGCGGCAGGAGCTCGCAAAGCGGACCCCCCCCGCCCCTTCTCCCCACGCACCTCAGGCAGAGATTTTCCGCTGTTCAGGTTGTAGATCTTCACGTTGTTGATGCTGGACACCTGCATTGCGACTCGAAGGCAAGAGTCGAACCGCCCGAGACCCCTTTCGCTCCCAGCTCGACTCCCGGTCGCTCCGGGGCTACACGTGCTCCGCGCGCCAACATGTGTTCGCCGCTTCCGTTTCCGGGTCAAACCCGCGGGGTTGGGCAAGGGGCGGAGCGTCGCTTGCGAGCGTTCGCAGCGCAGACTCATGAATATTAACGAGGAATCATCTTCTTTGGTTCTTTCGGTAAAGTCACGTAGAATGAGAATAAAATAATAAATTGATAAAATAAAATAACACAATAATTTCAATTTATTATTTTATTCTCATTCTACGTGACTTTACCGAAAGAACCAAAGAAGATGGATCCTTGCAGTCACGAAAGCTTTAAATCAAAATATTAATGAACATTAAACAAAAAATAAAAAAATGTGAATAATTTATTTATTCTCGCTTAATCAAGCACATCGATATATTTTTTTCAGTTTTCAGTTTATTTATTTTCGTATAGCCCTGTGAGCCATTCGGCTCTTGAATCGGGTGCAACCACAACAAACAAAAAAAACTAAAACACGAACAAGAAAACACATCTTAAAGTGACTATGTGACTGTGCAAACAGAAAATCCACGACAAAAAACCAGCAAAATATTCCTGAAAAAATTAAATATATGAAATACGCTATCCACGGATTACATAGCTGTTTGCAGGTAATCTTGTACAGGGAAATTTGAGTTAGGGGCCGTCCATAAATGACGTCACGCGATTTTGGACGATTTTTACCCCCCCCCCCCCTTCGTCACACGATGTCACAAAAAGTCAGACCCCCCTCCAAATATGACGTCACAAAGCTCTGCCCCCCCCCCGAAAAAATATAAAATATACTTCAAATCGCTTTATACTATTGTCATTGTAGTGCGTATTTAATGTGGCGCTGCACTCTGATGTTATAGGAGAAAACATTTATATAAAAAAAGTATATTTGATTAAGTGGAACGTGTTGTTTATATTTATTTAAAGTTGTGCATTTTGATGTGACGTCACATTTCTCAAACACCCCCCCTCTCGTCACAAATGTCTGACCCCCCCCCCACCCAGGTGCGTGACGTCATTTATTGACGGCCCCTTATCAGGTCTATGCGGCGTACAGCCGTTTCAATACGGACACATTTTTTTTGTCAATTTGTTTGTGTTTTTTTTAGAAACGTTGGCAATATATGCTGCGTTGGCAGTGGAGCGAAAGCACACAGAGCAAAGCGACTCGAAATAATAACAATGAAGGGGGGAAAGAATATAAAATCGGCGACGTTTCGGATAATGACCATTCTTCAGAGCACTAAATAGGAAGGCCAGAGAGAGAGTGGATAAAGTATCACCAGATAATGTTTCATTCGAGAAAGTAAGAAGCACACAAAAACCGTAGGCTCGACGTTAATAAAGTTATACTTATGTATTGACTTAACTTTCGTGACTGCAGGAATTCATATTCTTGGTTCTTTCGGTAAAGTCATGTTGAAAATAATTAAAAAAAATCCATATGAAGATCCAATAAAAAAACATCACCTTGCCTTACATAGCAGGGATAACCAAAAAGATTTCCAAAATCTTGAACAAACACAAGATCCAGGTCCGATTTAACACTGCATAAAATTCGTGATCTGATCCCATCTGTGAAGGACAAGATTCCTGACATGCAATATCCCGGCGTCTACAAACTAAGCTGTATCTGCGGCAGCAGTTACATTTGGGAAACTAAATGACATGTCGTTGCTGCGAGGTGCAATGCCCCCCCCCCCCATCTCTACCCCCCTCTCTGCCCCTATCTCTACCCCCCTCTCCCTCCCCTATCTCTATCCCCCTCTCTCCCCCTATTTCTACCCCTCTCACCCCCTATCTCTACCTCCCTCTCTCCCCCTATCTCTACCCCACTCTCTCTCTCCCCTATCTCTACCCCCCTCTCTCTCCCCTATCTCTACCCCCCTCTCTCCCCCTATCTATACCGCCCTCTCTCCCCCTATCTCTACCCCACTCTCTCTCTCCCCTATCTCCCCTCTATCTCTACCTCCCTCTCTCCCCCTATCTCTACCTCCCTCTCTCCCCCTATCTCCCCTCTATCTCTCCCTCCCTCTCTCCCCCATATCTCCCCTCTATCTCTACCCCCCTCTCTCCCCCTATCTCTACCCCCTCTCTCTCCCCTATCTCCCCTCTATTTCTACCCCCCTATCTTCCCTCTATCTCTACCCCCCTCTCTCCCCTCTATCTCTACCCCCTCCCTCCCCCCATTGTCTAACACACTTGGACTGCGCCCCTACCTCGCGCTTTACTCCAACTTTTCGCGCTGTACTCCTACACGACCATTGGCTGCCCCCCGCCCATGCTGTTGACGCCGCACAGCCTTCTTTGCTGCTGCCTCGCAACTCTCTCGTACCCCGCCCACTCACTTTGGAAGCCCTTAGAAGCAGTTGCATTTGGAGGCTTGCCCCCCTCTTTTCTCTCCACCTGATGAAGACCGCTTGCGTTTGCGATCGAAACGTCGTGGGTTTTTTTGGCTTTAATGTTAATTTATTTGTAATTAAATTTTATTTTCTATCTACGTGACTTTACCGAAAGAACCAAGAATATTATACTTATGTAGGGGATGTTCGAGCCACCTTCACGCACTCGCTACACGCAGACACGCAATCTCAACATAGCACACACCAATCACACGCACGGGAATTACACGAGACGGCGGTCAGGGGATTAAAGGGCACTGACGTCACACGCGCACGGCGCGCGATACGGAGATGTGGATTAGGAAGGAGGGCGGAGATAGAGGGTTTAAACGGGGCCGTGAAATGCGTGTTTGAGGTTGGATTTGAGTGGCTGTGGTTTGAAGAATAAAGAAGTGCTTAACCAGTCTCCGACTCCTCTACACTTAGAAGGACATGCACCGGATTATAAGACGCACCCTAAACTTTTTAATTGAAAATGCAGGGGAGAAAGCGCGTCTTATAATCAGAACAGTGTTGATGAATTTCTATGAATGTAATGGGATGTGGTTTTCTGAATATTAGCAGTTCACCGGCCTTGGCTGAAGCAATCCTGAACCCTGCTGATGGGACGCTGAAGGTCGAAACCGGTGCAGAAGTTATTCTTGCCTTGAATAATTGCTGCTGAAATGGCGCGCTTCCAGAAGGCCGTGCGGCTGATGGGTTGTGGATATAATTGAATATCTATGTGGAGAAACGGATATGCGAAGGAGACATTGCTTATTTTGTTATTTATATATTCTCCACAACGATGCCAATTATTATTCTTAACACGTGAAGGGGTTTGGCAACTAATACGATTGATAATTATTTTTTTGGGTCAGATGACGTAAGTCTTATTGTTGTATCGTGCACTCTCCTCCGTCCGACACAGCCAATGCACAATCGTGCCAATTCATGCTTCTGCAGCACCACCGATTTTATTGGAGAAGCAATACGCAACATTTTACAATTTGGTACGACCTTTCGCTGGTAGTTACAACCAGCATCATCATAAATCCTAGGCCTTTGTCAATCTGAGATGTATGGCAACCGCCTGATGATGCTAGTTATTATAATTCTTGGTGTTATGATGCTGTTTGTGATGAATGACGCCAACGACCACTGTAGTTTGAGTTATGCATGAATTGCATTGAGTGCTACGCCCCCTAGCGGACAGGGCGCAGCATCGCATCAAACGTATCGAGCGGTCCCGCATTGTTGGTGGAGGACAAATCCGAACGAGGGCTTTATTAAGGGGCCGTCCATAAATGACGTCACGCGATTTTGGAAGATTTTTGCCCCCCCCCTCGTCACAAAAAGTCAGACCCCCCTCAAATATGACGTTACAAAGCCCTGCCCCCCCCCAAAAAAAATATAAAATATGCTTCAAATCGCTTTAAACTATTGTCATTGTACTTCTTTGGTTCTTTCGGTAAAGTCACGTAGAATGAGAATAAAATAATAAATTGATAAAATAAAATAACACAATAATATTCTCACGACGTTTCGGCCACAACACAAGCTTTAAATCGAAATTTATTGTCATTGTAGTGCGTATTTAATGTGGCGCTGCACTCTGATGTTGTAGGAGAAAACATTTATTAAAAAGTATATTTAATTAAGTAGAACGTGTTGTTTATATTTATTTAAAGTTGCGCATTGTGATGTGACGTCACATTTCTCAAACCGCCCCCCCCTCGTCACACATCGTCACAAATGTCTGACCCCCCCTAGGTGCGTGATGTCATTTATGGACGCCCCCTAACTAGGATTTCACCAAGGCCATAAACCGGACTAATGCCGGCTCTTTATTCACAGTAATCACGGTAAATTCGTGTTGTACTAACCCTGTAAACATAGAACGTTGTGCTATAACGTTGGACCAACCACATACCAAAGTTGGCCCAACGTTGGATGTTTACCGGTCCTTATTGACATTTTCACGGTAGATTTGTGTTCCACCAAGATACGCACGCCATAATAGAGTTTTTTTTTTTATTAGATCGTGTAAATATAAATATGTTATTAAACCTGCCACCGCCCGACACATTTATATTGACGCGATCTAACCGAAAAAAAACTGTATTATGGATGATATTGGTCGCGAAAGCCTACGTGTTAAACATACGCACGCCTGTGTGAATAATCTACTGGATGCAAGGCGTCTTGGATACATTGCAACAGCATTTCAGTTTTATCCACTAGTTTTCTGGCCACATTTTTTTGACAAGAGATTAACACACAGATATCCCGCCTTGTTGCCACACACCTCGCCCGCAAGATACATCACCCACTACATATACAGCCCTTCCCACACACGAGGCAGGACACTGTAAAAGGACATCCAGGCGAGCCACAATTGAACTCTAGTTGCGACATGGTACGGAAATGAAGCGTCTCCTTGACTCGTTGATCAAAATCGATGTTTCGATTCAAGAGGTGCATCGCTATCGCTGATATTACACTGAGCTGCCCAAGCGAGAGCTTTACACGACTTGGATTGATTGAATTCATTCTCGGGAGAATCAATTCAATTCACTTCAATGTTACGGCAGGCAAACCCGGAGAGACTCCGATCGGCGGTGTGTAATATTATTTAGTTTTTAGGGGGACGATTTTTTCGCAACGAATGCGGGATGTGGCAGTGAGGAAGGAAGGGATGGCGAGGTTTGGCGCATCAAAGGCATTGACCATCGTGACCCTCTTGACTTTGACTTGATTAGTAAGGTAGCTATGTCACGCGGTGCGAGGGGGAAGTGTGGTGGGAACAATGCACGCCCGACCGTCTCCCCCATTGAGGGTGTTCACGACCTCACAGTCACCGGTTTTCTCCAACACCAAACAAAATAGAGAGAGAGAAAAAAATCGCCAAATAGATGACAAAACTGACTAAAGCAGAAACCCTCCTTACAACGAGTCTCGAGGCGCAAGCGACTCTCCAGAGTAAACGATGATGAGGATGATGATCATGAATACCTGACGACGACGGCGATGGTGGCGATTATGCGATGATGATGACGACGATAATCATTAGACAATGGTAATGATTATATTTCACCAAACATTACGATCCTATGACCACCATGAAAAGGATTAGTATTAATTTACAGTGATTATAATAATGATCCAATTATGATTATTCATATTAGACCACGATGGTTATTGCGATAATTCGTTGATTACAATCCATTTAAGAACGTTCATGATTTGTATGAATGATGGTATTGATGATAGCGACGATGGTGATGCTTGTTTATATAACGATCAAAAGTTGTTGGTTATCCATTGACAACGACGATGATGATGGGGGATGATGTTAAATGATTAACCCACAACTACGATTTCAGACCGACAGTCTTTAAAAAAAAAACATCACACGAATTTGCGACCTCTTCGCACGGCGAACTTCCACGCATGTCTTTTCTCAGCAGTAAGCTCTCAACTAAGCTGCCCTTCAGCCACCTGCTGCCTCCACCACGTCCTCCATCTCCAACGAGTCCCGTGCAGGTTAGGTCTGGCTCGGAGCAGTAACGCACGTTCTCTGCCCGGTCACAACAGACCACACCGGTCCCAAACCACTTCGGGCCTCCCGGTACCTGTCACCCTATAGAGACACACACAGGGGATAGAGGGTTGGGGGGGGGGTTCTGGGTGGTGGGGGGAGGTGGGGGTAAGTAGTGGTGGGTTTCGGGAATGGGGTGGCTTTATAAGCTTGAGGATCACCGAGCCGCTGTCTAGGTGGTGAGTGGGAAGGTAGAGTAATCGAAGTCAGCACCATCATCGATCTGCCTGGAGTCTCTCTCCCTGGCTGTCCGTCCTCTGTCAAGACCGACGATGGACACGAGCCATGCGCTGGACTAGGGCCGCTGTTCGCGGTGGGGTGTAGTGTGGAGGGGAACCGACTGAACTTGCGGGACACTCCTGCGGCTGGCCGTTCGGTTACCTGCCCCCTGCCTCGCACAGGTGTGTAGTGATAAGCGAGTCGGGGTCGAACGACCACCGGCTACATTGTGTGATATGCATGCGAATAGATGGACACACGCCGATGCACAGAGAGACGCGCTTAGAAACAGACACATTGCGATATAAACACACACACGCACACACCTGTGAGACGAGATAGCTGTGGGAGAGGGGATCGGAGGATAAAGAGGAGATGAGGAGTGTGTGTGTGAATGTCGTGTAGTTGCTCCTATACTCTGGCACTGTTCCTAAGATCTATAGCAAAGTCCAGCGGCGTTTCACTCGAAATCAGTAAATTAATAATGATCATCGTGCTGCCGTTGTGAGAGGGTTTGCAATCCACAATTTGGGTGCTTGGATTCGATCTCCCGTCGGGGCAGTTAAAACAATGAGCAGATCCTTAATACCCGCTCCGACCGCCGCTGTCCACCAAATGAGTTTTAATGGGCACGGTGAGTTGCTACTCGATGGGATGGCCAGTTCGTGCGTGTGGTGGGGTAGAACGTGGGTAGTACCGCCTCTTGCGCCGTGGTGGCGAGCTGTGAACTACCTCACCTGGTATACGGGAGGTCGTGGGATCGACCCTGACCCTGACGCCTGTATATTTGGAGTTTGGATGTCTATCTCCACGTGGTCGCGTGGACTTTTCTCCGGAACCTCCGGTTTTCCCCTCCACATTTAGATGCATGCGTTTCGCATATTTGGCTGATATAAATTTCCGCGCGATAAGCCACTTCGTTAGGCTATCATTTGTGATGGCCAGGTCGCTTCCGAAAAAGAGCTGCTATACAACTCAGTGGGCCTTACTTGGTAAAATAAAAAAAATATATATAGTTTCGTTTCAATAGTTCTATTCCAAGAGGTCTGTCCAGCGTGGAAGCGTAGGCCAATTCCCCTCCAGTGGGAATCTGTCTCCCTAGAGCTCCCTCTAGTGGAGTGCCTTCCTACAACAATGGTGTGAGTGAGTCATTGTAGGTCTGTACCTTTGTGATGAGCATCGCTAGATCGAAGCGGATGCCACTCCTCTACTGCTTCTAAAGTCTTTGACCACTGCCGTTCCTCCTCTGCCAGCATAACTGCCATCACCCCCTTACCTGCGACTGCTCCCAGTGGCTGGTCCGACACCATCGTTATTATTTAGCCTACAGTTGAATACAACAACGGCGATTCCAGACGCCGTGGAAGCGACGTCCAGCTACAATTCAGCGACACGGAGACGGGGTTTATGAATCACGTAGAGATGGGGCGGTGCATCTGCTAAGGAAGGTCAAACAGGGGGCTTTTGCATTTGCGGTACCCGCAAGTAGGTCGCGGACAGGCTCACACGCTATAACGAACAATGTTTGTGTTTCGCCACTGCCAGGATTTGAACCTATACGGCGGGCATGTCTGCGAGCGAGCTGTGGATCGTTTGCGCGCCGGGGGAGCCCGGCGCTCCTCAGGCGTGGGAGAAACTCCAAGCGGCCACGGAGAGAGCTGGGCTCTCAGAGAACCACAAGTTCCACATCCCCGAACTCAAGGTATGGGGTGCCTCATCCACAAAGACCAAGACCCAAAAACCCCCTGCCGTATATCCTTAACAGACTTTTGGGACAAGTGCTGTGAGCGAGTGGCATCTATTAAGGGCGGCACGGCACACGAGGGGGTTTGTGGACAGCACCACGCCCGCCCGGTCAATTTTGTCTCCCTAGTAGCGATGTTTACACACCGCACCAGCTACTTATTTGAAGCTAAGCCGACCTAGGAGAATCACAAACACAATGACACATAATGGCACACATACACACTGACACAATGAATCACACTCTGACACACAAACGCAATGACACTCAATGAGACACACGCACTGACACAATGACGCATTGACACAATTATTCACACGCTGACACAATGACACACACGTTGACACACAAACACAACGATACACAATGACACACGTGCACTGATATATCGATTTACAATGACACACAGATAAATTAACGATGACAAATTGGTTGCTGATACTGCGTTGGTAGTGGTGCAGAGGCACAAATAAAAATAAAAAACTCACCACGTTTGTCAATTACTTTGCCGCAAGAGCGTAACATATAATTGGTGACGTTTCGGGCAACAACCCTTCTTTATAGCACTAAATAAGTGACGTTTCGGGTAATTACCATTTTTATAGCACATCATTCGATTTACGCGCTTTGAAGAAGGGTCATTGCGCGAAACGTCACCTATCACATATATTTTTCCTTTTTCAGGCCACATACACACACGGTGTAACTGACGAACACGTTGGGTTTTGTTGCACAAACAATGACACACTCGCTCACTCACACGTTGACAATGACACAGACAAAGATAGGCACTGACACAATGAGACGACGACGACGACGACACAATGACACGCGACACGTGTCCCCCGCGACCTTGGCCCGGCCAGTCCCCTCCCGTTGGGGGCCGGGCCGCTCCGGTTATTTTCGCAGCTGATGGGGACATTAACCCCCCCCCCCAACACTTCTCCAATTCACACTCACCCCCCACCCACCGACTTACCCCACTACAACCCCCCTCCCCCAGCACCCGCCTAGTGCGGTGTGGTGCGGACTGGTTGCCAGTGTTGTGTATACAGCACGGGGCCCGCTGGCGTGCACCGCTGTCTCTTTAGAGGGCAAATGACTCCACCTCTTCCTCCTCCTCTCTACAAGTCCCCATAAAAGGGTGGACGTGACGGGAGACTCGGGAGGCTCGTCTATTGGCTCTGACATCGACACTGAGCCACGATGAGCCCGCACCGATGGCATGGATGCTGGGTTCGGTTTGCAAGCGACCCGTGAATGAACCTAGACGGTTGTTAAGTAAGAGAGAATTGCCAACCATGCCAATCAATGTAGCAGGACCCTCCTTAACAAACAAAAAAGGATTGAGATTCAGTGATGGCTGATTTGCATAAATTGATATTATGATTTCTGCTTGATGGTCACCAATTAGTGCATACATACAAAGACCCCCCGTATAGCCTTAACAGACTGTAGGGGCAAGTGCTGTTAGCGAGCACCTATAAAGGCTGGCACGGTACACGAGGGGGTGGGTGGCCAACACCACGCCCGGCCGCCTTTGTCTAATGAAGAGTAATGCCAATAATTTATCGAGGATTTCCTCACTGAGTCTCTGCTACTTTGTGACGTTTGGTAAATCCATTAATTTGTGCTTAGGATGTGCGAGGAAACCGGCGTACCATGTGAACACCCATCACGTGACGCGCACAACTTCGTACAGATCGATTAAATAAATCAATTGTATGTATATATTAATGTACTGCCATCTCCTTCGCAGCCCACGTGAGCTCACACCATTCTCGTGTGAATAAAATATGTACATACAGCCTGTGTTTGTTCAATCCACTGCTAGATGAGTGCCGTGCTGCTTGTAAGGCGTTATTTGACCATACTTCATCACGCTGCCCGGTACGGGTTGATGACGGCGGTGAGCATCGTCGTTAGAGCACACGGAACGGTAACAATGATGGTTGATGGAACAATCTCCAACGGTATTCACTGACCTCTCTGGGGCCCCGCCTACCACTCCCCATGCCGCACATAGGTGGGGACGCTAGACTCGCTGGTCAGTATGTCTGATGACCTCGTCAAACTGGACACCTTTGTGGAGGGGTAAGTGGTGTGTGGACGTGTGTGTGCGAGTGTGTTTGGGGAGCGGTGGTGTAGTGGTTAGCGCGCTGCGCAACGAACCCGGCCCCCCCTCCCCCCCCACCCCGGGTTCGATTCCCGCTCACAGCCAACAACGGTGACGATTATTTGAACCGGTTCTGGGCCCCTTCTAGGTCGACTCAGCCTCAAATGAGTACCTGGTGAGGTGTTTAAACATCGCCACTTGAAAGACAAAGGCGGCCGGTCGTGGTGATGGCTACCCACCTCCTTGTGTGCTGTGTCGGCCTTTATAGGTGCTCGTTAGCAGCACTTGCCCCAACAGTCAGTTAAAGGATATATGGGCTATATGGGGGATCGTTTGGGGACACGTGGATGGGGAGCGGTCGTGTAGCGGTTAGGGTGCTGCGCTACGAACCCTGCAGACCGGTGTTCAATTTCCGTTCATGGTGGCAGTTCGAGGGCTGTCAAGGGCAAGTGGTGGGAGACAGAAGGGCAGATCGTAGTAGGAGACGCAGACACCAGGATGCCATTCCTGATTATTTTCGACTTGAAAAAAAATATCTTGAGACTCATCGACGCTTTTTCTGGATAAAGGGGATTATTATTATTAGGATTGTAATTGTTGTTATGAATTATTAAGCGAACTAGGCAATGAGTGAGCGAATGAGTGAATTCATTGGTCTGGCGTTTTTATGTCCGTACAGCGTCGTTCGCAAGATCACACAGACCATGGTGGACGTCTTGGAGGATGCGCGTGACAAGGCACGGGAGAACCTGGTGGCTAACGGGGGTACGGCGCGGATTAACGGGTTTGGGGAGCGGTAGTTGAGCAAGGACGCGGTATATCAGTTCGGATTCGAGGATAAACACGATTTTGTGTGGCCGTTAGACACACGTAGAGCGTCGGATAAACTGGAATTTCATGAATAGGTGGCCTGATAAAGGTGGCCCATGTGTGTAAGATAAAAGGAACGGTGTTTGGCGGATCGAACAAAGACGGTCACTGCATCGCGCGCTTTCAGATGCACTTCTGCGGCCGTCTGGAATGCTCTTCCTTCCAATATTAGGAAGCCACTGGAGCTATGCGATTTGAAACATAGATTTAAACCTTTTCTTCTTTAGAACTGCTTTTTTGTGTTTATTTTGTCCGCCTTCCCCCGCACATCCGATAGCATGGTTGGCTACAAAGGGTGCAAAAGAAGTTCAACATACATGCATCATTGGGAGGTGGAGGTCAGGGCCGACTCACACATATCTGCGTGGCGCAGCTACAGTGACCAGGTTATGACGGAGTCATATCTCGATTCGCCCATCGTGGTCTGGTCACCCTGCCTGCCCACGTGGACAAGCATCACCGGCCCTGCCCAGCCTCCTCATCACTCATCATCAATAATAATCATTATCATCATCATAGCATCGTAATAAAATAAATCATACATCACTCGTCATGAATGATCATCAATTATAATCATTGATCATCAACCAATCACCTACAAATCATCATCATATCATAATCGGCAGCAATCATTATCATCATCAGCAGCAGAAGAATAATCATGAGCATATGAATCAGAGGCATCATCAGTAGTAGCACCAGCAGAATCATCGCCATTATTATCATCATCAGCAGGAGCCTCTGCCAGGTCGCCTCAGCCTTAGATTAGAAGCTTATGCGGTGTGTAAATATCAGTACTGGGGAGATCAAGGCGGATAGGCGTTGTATTAGCCATTATTACCCCCTCGTGCGCGGTCTCGGTTTCAATAGGTGTTCGCTAACAATCTGTGCGGCTGTAGGGGAAGCTTCCTCTATCAGTCATAGAGGAAGCAATGGTGCAGTGGTAAGCGCACTGCACTACGAACCCCGGGTGGTCAAGTTCTATTTACGCTCACCACCTCGTCAGTGACGAATATTTGAACCGGTCTTGGGTCTCTGCTAGGTTGACTCAGCCTTAAACGATTAGCTATTGTGTGGTCTCGGCATCGGCACTGGAAAGACAAAGGCGGTCGGGCGTAGTACCCGCACTTGCGCAATAGATTGTATGGAAATATGTCATATATTTGTCTTTGTATATGTACTCACTATTTGAACTCTTGACCTCAGCTGACCCAATGACCTACGTGACCAAGTTCCAGTGGGACATGGCTCGCTATTCGGTGCGGCAGCCACTGCAGGCCGTGGCAGATGTCATTGCTAAGGTACTTACGCACGCACACACACACCGTATACGCATGCACACACAAATACACAGATTCCCCGTATTGCTTTTAACAGACTATTGGGGCAAATACTTTTCGCGAGTAGCACCTATGAAGGGTATGGCTCACGAGGGGGTGGGTGGTCAGCACAACGCCCGGCCGCCTTTGTCTCCAGAGTGGTGACATTTAGACATCGCACCAGGTTGAAGATCAGAGTCTGTCACAGGCAGAGGAGACGAGGAAATGAGGGATGGAGTTGGCAGCACGCATAGCTGGGGGGGGGGGGGGGGGGGGGGGGGGCTCCAGACAATGAGGGCAGCAACAGAGAGAGAGTGACCTCCCTCCTATTGAGTGAAGTAAAATCGTCATTTATTTGTCCAGGAAAGCCTCGCAGAGTCTCAAGACTTTTTTGTCAGGAGGGTCCTGCTGCATTGTAATGTTTGACCAGTTCCACTAAAGAGTAATTTATTTGTTGCATGTGGAGGGAAACCGGACTTCTAGGATAAATGTCCACATGTGTGTGTGGGGCAAAGGTGGGCGGGTCTATAGAACAACAACCGCTGACTTTCTCCACAAAGTGGGACGTATTTTAACGACCCCGGGAAGGATGATGGGCTGAGTTAACCCCCACGAAATTGAATTCGTTCATCTGGCCGTAGCCATGCGGGAGGAACTGGGAGCTGCGTTAATTTCGTCGCTGTTCAAGGGGTTCTTGTCTCGTGAGGTTACACACTGACGAGCAAAGCCGTGTCTCGCCCAGCAAGTGTCGCAGATCGACTCCGACCTCAAGGGCCGCGCCTCGGCGTACAACGTGCTCAAGAGCGGCCTGCAAAGCATCGAGCGCAGAGCCACGTGAGTCTGCCGTCCGTACGTGTGGAGTACACGTGGTGCCCTTACAAAACACATGCATATCCCTCTCAATATTCGAGCACCACCTTAAAGGCCCGCCGGCTGTCCGCCCTACCTAGGATAGACGATGGGAAGGAAGGTGGTTTGCAAAGTGGAGCGGTGCGAGGTGAATAAGTAGAAAGGTAAGCGCTGTAGCCTGCAGTGTTGTGAGTGAGTGGGTGAGTGTGTGGCGAGGTGCAGTGCGATGGTGGAGCAGTGTAAATGAGAGGCGACAGTATGGGAGGAGGAATCACTGAGTGAAGTTCAAGGCAACAGCAATTGTGGTGGTGGTAGTAGCGATGAAAGAGTGACAGGGAGGCGACTGGCTGCTGGCGAGTGAGTGACGGAAGTTCATGGGGGAGGTTTGGTTGAAGGCAGATAGCGTAGGTACGTTTACACGTACCAGTTTGCCTAATCCTATACCTGTCCACCCGTAAAAAATAAAGACAAAGATCCCCCGTAATGCCTCAGCAGAATTTGGGACAAGTGCTGTTAGCGAGCATCTTTGAAGGCCAGCATGGCACACAAGGTGGTGGGTGACCAGCACCACCCCCGGCCGCCTTTGTCTTCCCAGTGCCAATGTTTATACACACCAGGTACTCATTTGGGGCTGAGTCGACCTACCCATACACACACCAGCACACCTTCACATTCTTACACTTGTATAGACGTGCACAAGTAGAGTACACGTACTATATACACCTTCACCTGTGCATCTAAGTGTGCATCTCTACACCTCCACGTACTGTATAATTATATTTCGATTTAAAGCTTTCGTGACTGCAAGGATTCATCTTCGTTGGTTCTTTCGGTAAAGTCACGTAGAATGAGAATAAAATAATAAAATAAAGCTATACAATTCTCACGACGTTTCGGCGACAACATAAGTGGCCTTGTAGCTCTGTCGTCCCGACAGGTTTGTTCCTTTCACCTGAAGAAGGCCACTTGTGTTGTGGCCGAAACGTCGTGAGAATTTTATTGTTTTATTTTATAATTATAATTGAATGAAGCTGATAATACCACTGCTGTGCGTGATGATTAGATGTTGCTGCTGATGATATTGCTGCTGCTGCTGCTGCTACTGGTGATGCTGCTGCCACTGCTCCTGCTGGTGCTGATTATTCTGCAACCGCCGCTGTTGTGGATGGTTCTGCTGCTCCACAGTGGCAGTCTGATGACGCGGAGTCTCGCTGACATCGTCAAAAAGGACGACTTTGTCCTGGACTCGGAGTACCTCATCACCCTGCTGGTTATCGTGCCCAAGTGAGTCCTTACCACGTCACCGTTATCATCATCATCGTGGTTACATAACAAATCCTCCTGGAGAACTCCCACCTTCAGGAGACCGTGGGGTAGTGCGGTGGGGGGTGCACGTGTTCAACCCCGCTGGACGCACAGCGCCAGCCAGAAATAGGGCTGAACGATTAATCGATTTCAAATCGCAATTTGAAACAATGAGATTAGCAAATCGCAAAAGATGCGATTTTTTTGCGATTTGAAAAGTCCTATTACTTTCTTATTGGAATTTTCCTTTGTATTATTATAACTTTATTTATTTAACTTAACAATTGTTCTATGTTTGATTGTTCTATTTCAATTAAAACATTTTCATAAATACATGTTGGAAGAAATTAATATCTTTTAAGTTCTCATCCTTGCATTAGATTATATATAGAGAGCAGTTCATATTTTGATGGTACCATGTGGTAATGCTCCATCACATATTTTAAATCTATTACACAGTTAATATTGAACTGAAGCTTTACTTAAACAAAATTTAATCGCAAATCAAATCGCAATAACCTGTCAGAAAAAAAAATCGCAATCGGATATTTTCCCCAAAATCGTTGAGCCCGAGCCAGAAAGCACCGCCGTGAGTGTTGGCGCCCCCTCGTGGACGGTTTGTGGCTCTCTCCGGGCGCGGACTCCCGTGCACTTCCGCGGCATCGAGCAAAGCGACAAGGGATTTGGCTGCACCATTCCAACACGAGGGTATCGCGAGCAGGCGCGGGTTCGTCCACTAGGGGGCGTTGCGGCGTCGCTCCCGCCAAGCAGCCGGACATGATCAAACTATTTTTCTAATTGAAAAAAAAAAACTTTTATCTCAATTGTTTAGTTGTATTTTTTTTATTTATAATGATGATTTAAACGTGAATTTCCTAATGTAGATAACATTTTGAGTTGTTCACATTAGAAACCGCTGCAACACCGCAGGCTGATTTGTGCCTCGGGGAGGTCTCGGGGTGGCTGTGAAGGCGTCCGAGTGTTGTTGTTTGATTTCTGTGTGCGTTTGTGTGCAAGTGATAATAACTATGCCATTAATTTACCCGGGAAAGCCCGAGTCTCAAGACTCTCTTTTATTTAAGCAGGTTTCTCTGCTAGACTCTATTCTATACAGACGGGGACAGGTGGATTCCACATTTTTTTGGTTGTACCGCCTCCTGCTGGCAAGCCAGGGAATTATGGAACCTCCTCGACGCCAACGGGAAGGGAGTTTCGCAACCTTTGAGCGATCCACCAAGCCTCGCTGCCTTCTCAGAATGCTGAATTTCAAGCCCACGTGCTTTGCCACGGGATAAGGAGGATAACGTGACGGTGCAATGCGATCGAATGGCGCGCAAGATTTATGATGTATTGCGGCATTATGAGACCATTAGGGGTAGGGATGAATTCTTGGATGGCTTCATCGAGCAGTGGAGAGATCACGGCTGATTGATGATAATGATATGTATGTATATGTGGGTGTGTTGTGTGCTGTGTACCACAGGCCTAATATTGGAGACTGGAACAAATGCTACGAGACTCTGTCTGAAATGGTTGTCCCACGGTCGAGCCGGTAGGATGCAGAACTCGGATCTCAAATGCCCCAATCTCGATACAACACGATTTGAATGTATACGATTATATACAACCATCAGAAGCAGCAGCGTCATAATTTGTATTATTAGTAACAACAGCAGAATCGCTTTCATCATTTTAACTCAACCCCCAAAGTTTCAAACAATACGTAGAAATGTGTATCCTGCAAAAAAACCTATAATCATTTCCTGAAGAAGTGCATTGTGGTCTTCTTGTCTTAGGTGACTGCATAATGCATTATTTGTGTTTTGGTTTGAAATTCATGGTCTTGAAGTCTGCACTATTATTCTGTCATGATGAATTTTTCTCATCATTTATAAGCTTGACTCTTGTTGGCATTTAGCCATGCTAATTGGCACCCATAGTGCAGAGGTGGGGACTTCATATGCAGTGTATGGTTCCCAGAAGTACACCTAGCATCAGTGATGACCGGTGGCTATACTGCACCGATGAGGTCTAATAATGATGAAACTGGTCCACAGTTTTATATCACCACACCACTGCTGCTGGTGCTGTCAGTCGCGCACATTTGCTCAAGTTTATTTTGATGGTGACCATATCACAGACAAGAGCACCACAATGCACTTCTTCAGGAACTGCTGATTGTTTTCACATCCTGTAGTAAAATATGTTTTGTGCACGTTTCTGTGCGGTTTTTGTTCAACGCTTGTTTTTTTCCTGCACTATTTTGTTCTGTTATTATGGGTTGCCCTCGTCATTTCCAGATTTGATCAAATCCCAGAGATATCCACGAACCCAATATCTCGAGTCTAGAGGAGGGGTAGGCAACCAAAACTGTCATCTACCAAGGCGCATGCGGATCTTTCATCCACAAAAATGCGGCTCTATGAAAGGGGCGTAATGCATAACTACTATCACAGTAGCAAAGAATTATAAATGTCGCCCGTGTTGTGCCGAAAATTGTCAGTATATATACACTTATTATAGAACACTTGGCTCTTTGCATGACTCATACGTACTTTTTGGCTCTTGGTCTGTTACAGGTTGTCCACCCCAGGCGGGCATCAGCCACTAGAGCTGCTGCTCTCACATGCTTCTATCGTCGACTATTCACGCTGTTTTATTCGCCCCTCTGCCAGGATCGTGTTCGAGGACCCAGAAGGCTACATGTGCACTGTGACGCTGCTGCAAAAAGCTGTGGAGGATTTCAAGCAAGAAGCCCGGCGGAACAAGTACAGTTTGATAGCGTGAACACGATCTGCAAAAAATATCAACGCGATACGGTTTCGTACTGCGCACGGCTGTGGCCGCATCTCGATACGGTGGCGAGACGTTCACACCCCTCGCCTGGTATTCAAGTCGTGGGTTCGATACCGACCCTGACACCTGCTGTATATTTGGAGTTTGCATGTTCTCCCCGTGGTCGCGTGGATTTTTCTCAAAGGTCCAGACACAAACCCACTTGCTGTACTACCACCTCCAGGCAAATACTTGCCCAATCAGATTATGGGATTTTCACAATAACTAAACAATATTAATAACATGGAAAGTATATATAATTGGTTGAACAGCTGTCAGCCTAATAATTTAATAGGCGATGATGATCGATGGATTTATGAGTTTGCTTGGGTCGGCTGCTAATTTCGCGAACTTTGGGCGCCAGGTTCATGGTGCGCGACTTCCAGTACAACGAGGAGGCGCTAAAGGCAGACAAAGAGGAGATAAACCGACTCATCACGGACAAGAAGAAACAGTTTGTACGATGCACTCATCACAAACACGAGTATCACTGCTACCACGACTGTCATCATCATCAGCGGCACCATTTTTACAAGCTACGTTATAATGAAGATCGTCGTCAAATCATATTATCGTCCGAAATAGAATAGATTAATTAAAGTCATTGAATGTATCATCATAATCATCGTGAGCATTGCCATATGAAGCAACAACAGCAAAATCATAATCCAGTTTGTCATTACTTCTATAATTAGCAGCCATTACGAGCTTAAAGAAGTTAGCAATTATCATTGTTATCATCTTCAGGTGGCATCATCATCATCAAATCCATCATCATGGTCAATATCAATGTCATCAATATAAACATCATGAAAGCCATCATCATAAGGATCCTTTGGTATTGTATGTCATTTAAAAAAATCATATACTGTCATACCATGAGTTTCAGCATCAGCTGCCAAGTCCGCCCAGTGCCAGACTGTTGCCTCAATGAGCCCACTGCTGGTTTGAAGTAAAGGCCACTGACAAACTGGCTGATTTAGTAAATGACTGAATGGCCCATTGCTTAACCAACTAATGAACAGACCAATCCATTGACCGACCGACTGGCTAACCAAATGGCCAAGTGACTGGTTGACTGACAGCTGACGTACCGACTGACCAAATAATGACCAAACGACTATCTGATGGGCCAATTGCCAGACCGACGGATTGACTGATTCACTCTCCAAATGACCCACTGATAATGCGACTGACTCACTGCCAATTGACCTGCTGACCCACTGTTACGTGTGTGTTGCAGGGCCCTATGGTGCGCTGGCTGCAGGTGAACTTTAGCGAGGCGTTTGTGGCGTGGATCCACCTGAAGGCGTTGCGCGTGTTCGTGGAGAGCGTACTCAGGTGAAGACCAATGCCGCAGTGAGAAATACCGAGGATCAAACCCAAAAAAATATATTAATTTATTAATACTTGTTAGCTAGGAAAGTCTCAGCCCCACGATGGCGAGATGTTAACTACCTCGCCTCTTATACAGGAGTTCGTTGGTTCCATCCCGACTCTGACGCCTGTATATTTGAAGTTTGCACGTTCTCCCCATGGTCGCGTGGATTTTTTTCCGGGTCCTCCGGTTTTTCCCTCCACATTTAGAAAGACGCGTTGAGAGTATTGGGCTGCTATCAATGTCCACATGATACGCTACTTCATTGAGATATCATTTCTGGCCAGGTCGCTTCTGAAAAAGAGCTATATACCTCAGTGGGCCTTACCTGGTAAAATAAAAAAAATAGTTTAGAGTCTCAACTCTTGTTTAGGAGGGTCCCACCAAGTTTTCGTAGGAAGGGGCAATGTTGCTATATTGTATTGACATGTGACCAACGTGCGTGCCCCGAGTGTTGATAAAGGATTGTTAGAGTGACTTTAGAAGCGTTTCCCGTGTTATCTTCTGGAGTAATTCTGACACACGGCGGTGCACTGCTTGTTGTCGGAATTCCAAATAGAAATGTTGTTAAATTGTGATTTAAAGCTTTCGTGACTGCAGTAATTCATATTCTTAGTTCTTTCGGTAAAGTCACGTGACTTTACCGAAAGAACTAAGAATAGAAATGTTGTTCTCATCACGTGACACCTACAGCACAATTTGAATATAATTGGGAAGACATTACCAAGCCCTCAGCGGACATAACATGGACATAACGATAAGGCAGATGAAACATTGACCTAACCTGGGCATTGATCGGCATCCCATTATCTATGGACCAGCCGTATATTAAATTGCTATAGCTATGGAATGATTGTTGAACTGCTTAGAAATGTTCGAATCGTGAAGGAGTCAGAGGATATATCTAGCAGTGCATCCTGGCCAAGTGTCTTTATGTGGGTCGACTCACTATAATGAATATTCTTAATGGTTGTGAGCACAGTGCTCAAGAGTCTAAAGACAAAACTGACAATTCAGAACCATGGCTTCCATATGGCACCACGGACCTTCACCAGGTTATAAAAAGCAAAGATGTAGGTCTTGTTTAAATTCCCTACACATCTGCAGTCGACATACTGCTCCTGACTAAAACTACAATGGGGCTCCACAAGCTTCTCTTGAATGTGCCTGGCAAGACAATGTCAAATCAATCTTGTCAGGCAGTCCTATCCTTACACGGTAAGCAGGTAGATGCCCAGATAATTGTACTAAATCACAACTCCCACTTCTTGCGTGTACGTTACCCGCTTACCCACCCTAGGTATGGGCTCCCTGTCAACTTCCAGGCGGCACTGCTGAAACCACGCAAGAACCAAAAGCGACTCAGAGAAGTGTTACAGCAGCTGTACAAGCACCTCGATAATGGGGCCGGCATCTCTGTAGATGTGAGTGGCCATGCATATTCACGTCTCATTTCCAGGATCCCTACCTCCCTGCCATATGCAAGGGATGCTTTCCTGGGAAATGCTGCTTAACCCGAAATTACTTTAAGCGAACTCTAATTTCCCATAGACGTAATGTTATATTGAGGGGTTGCGTTCCTAGCCGACGTTTCTGGAAAAAAAACACATTTCTTGACTGAATGTCATGAAGTGTTAAAAAATGGATGAGTATAAGTTCATATACATTTTAACTCTTAATAAATGCCAATGTGTATTAATTCACATATCTACAAAGACACCAAGTACAGCCTACATGGACAAGTACTGTCAGTGAGTACCTGTGAAGACCAGAATGGCATACGAGGGAGCTGTCGTCTCTCCCGTGCTGATATTTTTACATTCTGCACCAGGTACTCATTCAATGCTCAATTAACCTAAGGGAGGCCCAGGACTGCTTCAGGTATTCTATGCCACTGATGTTAGCCGTGGACTGGAATTGAAGTCGGGTAATTGGGTTCGTAGCGCAGTGGGCTAACCACTGTTCCACACACAAAGACAAATATCCCCTGTATCGCCTTGAACTGTTTAGGGAAAGTGCTGTGAGCGAGCTCTACAAACACTTGTACACTCACACATGATGCACTCTACTCATATCCTCGTTAATGTATACACACATTCTCGCGTACACGCTTGCACTCACATATAAGCACAACCTCACACTCACAAATGTACGGACACACACTCTGTAGTCTCACTTGCACATTACACAATCATGCTTACTCACGTGTGCTGGCTACTAACATTTACTAACGTACGCACTGCTCAAATACACACTTTGTACACATACAGCACCCTCAGGTGTGTACACCCTTGTGCATTCACGTCCAACGACACCGACGACTCTTAATAGTGGGAGCCCTCCTTTGTTGTGGACACAGCAACAACACTCGGCACGGGCTTCGTTTTTCTGTTTGTTTTGAAGCTCGTCCCTTCTTCCCTCGAAGGTGTCCACTCTCCTCGTGCTCTATCTCTCTCACCTTTTATCCATCTCGAGCCCCCCTTTCTCGAACTCTCCCTCAACCTTGCGATTTAAAGCTTACGTGACTGCAGGGATTCCATATGCTTGGTTCTTTCGGTAAAGTCGCGTAGAAGGGAAACAATGAAATAATAAAAATATAAAACAATAAAATTCTCACGACGTTTCCACTGCCAACACTAGCAATCGTCATCAGGTGTGAAAACCACAGCAATACATTTTGTTTGAAAAAAGTGGCGGTTCCCCCCCCCTCAACCCTTCCCCCCCCCCTCAACCCTTTCCCTCCCCCCCCTCAACCCTTTCCCCCCCCCACCTCAACCCTTCCCCCCCCCCCTCAACCCCCCCTCAACCCTTCCCCCCCCCCTCAACCCTTCCCCCCCCCTCAACCCTTCCCCCCCCCCCTCAACCCTTCCCCCCGCCCCTCAACCCTTCCCCCCCCACAACCCTTTTTGTCCCACAGCCAATCCCCGTCCTCCTCCAACGGTTCCCAATCGTCGCATCCGGGGTTTTGCTCTGTTTCCCGCTTTTTCTCCCGTTTTAATCTTTTCCTCCAATCACTTTAAACCCTGCCTCCTGACCAATCATCGTGGTTGCTTCTGCAGCCAATCCCCGTCCTTCTCCAACGGTTGCCAACCGTCGCATCCGGGTTCCCCACAGTTTCCCGCTTTTTCTGTTCAAAACCTTTTCCACCAATCACTTCAAACCCTGCCTCTCGACCAATCATCGTGGAGGCCTCTTTCCGCCAATAGGAGACATTGGCCTACTTTTTGCACGATTTTTATTAACTCACTTTGTTGTCGTTGTATCCTCAAATCTTGTAACTCAATTTTTACCCACTTCCCAATGTGGTATCGACTGCAAACTTGTTATACTTATGTCATACTGATGACAATACTATATTCTATCAGAAAAAAGAAAAAACATTTAAAAACATAATTTTTTATATGTTATGTTTTGGCTTGGGTCTAATTGTCCACGCTCAACTAACGTTGGCTGTAAATGACCACGGTCCCCTTACGTTATAGAAAGCTTCGGGGCCACTTTCTGGAGTTCTTCCATTACTCGTACGGTACATTTAATTAAATCGTGTTTTTAAAAAAAGAAATTGTTTTAATATTACTTTTGAAGAACAATTTGGCTATACATTGGCTTGGGGCGAGTCCTTCATAATTTCGGAATATTGCACATGCATCAAGCAAACACGTTCATAGGAATGGTATTCATTTAGCTTTACAGTTTATCACAACCCCGTAAAGCATAAACAACATATATAGTTTTGATTTAAAGCTTTCGTGACTGCAGTAATTCATATTCTTAGTTTTTTCGGTAAAGTCACGTTGAAGAGAAACAACAAAATAACAAAAAACTAAGAATATAACATATATAGTTGTTTATCAACAAAACAACTGTAAAGGCCGTTCACTTGCAATGGAATGAAGCAAACATTTTGTAGGCAGAGCCCATTCGGTCAACACACAACAACGCTTCCCTATTTCAACTGTAACCCAACTCGGCAACCATCCACGATTATCAATCCTCCCACTGACCATAACCCTACCCCCCAAACCGCACCTGCAGAACTTCACCATGTCCTCCCTCCCCCCATTCATGTTTTGATTTTCGTTTTCAGTTTTGGTGTGCACAGCATTCGCAGTGTGCCGCGATCTATGACATCCATTTGATTCCCAACCGTACATCATCATCAGTGGCGAGTGCCATTGGGGCATGTCCTGAGCTTTCCCGATTTACTCAGCCAGAAATGGATACCTCGTGTGAACATCAGGACTGGAGTGACAGGCAGCTGAGCATAGTACTGGTCAAGACACCCTTCGGTGTGTCATATCAGCCTTACTTAGTAGGTGCTCGTGAACAGAATGCACCCCTTGGCAAAATAAATGGGGGGGGGGGGGGCTTATCTTGTAGAATTATGCAGAGTGAAGGCCTCCCCACGTGGGTCATGGGTGTTTTATTTGACCATACTTCACCATGCTGGTCAGTGTTCGTTAAAGGTTCTCAGTACTGGTTCATGAATGTCATTCCCAAATGATTTTTTTGTCCATAGCCAGGAATTAAACTCAAGCACCGGGTTCATAGATCAGTGTGCTAACGACACTTTTCACCTTTGTCTTTGTATGCGGGCTTGTGTTTCTACAACAGGCGAGTATGGACCTACCAGGAATGAGCTTCAATAGCCAGGACTACTACCCATATGTGCACTTTCGTCTCGACCTTAATCTCCTCGAAAGCAAATAGGAGGAACAAGAAGTCTTCTGTTCATTCATGAACGCGGCAGAGGGAGCCACGACTTACTTTCAGGAACCTCAGGATAGTTGACCAATTCCTTATGGAGTAACCTACCTGCTGTACTATCTTCTGGCCAACTTGAAGGCTGTCCAAAGTCTCACTCGCGAACACACGATCAAAAAATATATTCAAATAAAAGCTTTATTGGAGCCAATAGTTCATGCAGCAACACCGTGCTGATGACGGAGTTCGTAACCAAATCAAGGCAAGGATCCCACATCAGTACCCAGTAGCACTGGCGTATGAGACAACACGTTACCGACGGGTTTCGGTGAAGTTAAAGCCGGTAGCCAAATATCCACTGAATTATCATGAAATCAGAAGGCCAACCCGTTAATGAAATGTGTTCTAGTTTTAGCGCTTACAAAAAACTCCCCACATTTGTATACGCTTGATATTCAGAAAGTGTATCAAATCGTGGTTACCAAGCATGAATCCAAACGCTGAAGAGACAGCCGAATTGACTGTTGCTCTATTGACTTTTCAGAAAAGTCAATACAGCACTAAATACTTTAGCGCACCATTTTCTGCATACAAGTAATTTGAGAAAACATTTAATTAGTTGGTTCTCAAATTTTGATTTAAAGCTTTCGTGACTGCAGGGATTCATATTCTTGGTTCCTTCGGTAGTCACGTAGAAGGGAAACAATAAAATAATAAAAATATAAAACATAAAATTCTCACGTTTAGATTGCAACACAAGCAATCACGTGTGAAAACCACAGCAAGAAAATGTTTTTCTTGCTGTGGTTTTCACACCTGATGATTGCTTGTTGCAGTCGAAACGTCGTGAGAATTTTATTGTTTCATATTTTTATTATTTTATTGTTTACCTTCTACGTGACTTTACCGAAAGAACCAAGAATATATAGTTGGTTCTCAGTTGACTTTTTTGGCCATTGAAATAAATGTAACCATTTAAGTTTTCCCCCATATTAAGTGGTATGAATTTCAGCTCTGGCCTGTGTATGAGGGTGTTGCATTTCTCAAGTGGATAAAAAAAGGCATTCCAGAAATCTCAGTTAAAAAGTGAAAATGTCTTTCCTCACCACAATTAGTTCAAGAGCAATGCTCAGCTCGTGGACAATAAAACATTGGCCGTTTAAAATCCTGAGCTACAAAATCAATGACTTCTCACGAAAACACATTTCAGCACACAGACACGCAATTTTTTTTGTAAACTTATGCAAGGAAACCATTCAATACTCATGTTACCGTTTAAAGCACCGTTTTTATAACAATTTGGGTCATTTGCGAGATATTTTAATTTTATGTAGATGTGGAACATTTACACATCTAATTCCGAGTCATGTCCGTATCATCTTCCGAGTTGACTCGAGTGACATGGGGTTTTTAAAAATATACATGTAAATGTTGCCCACAGACACTTCATTGTATTCATGCAATCACTTTTAATTATGTAAAATAAACTGTTGATGTTTCAATGATGTTCCTTTAAGTTTAACAACCACCACTTTGAACTACGTTTTGTTTTACCCCAAAAAGCCTCAATGAGTCACAAATGTTCTAGTTTTGGTTGAGCTGTTTAAACATTTTTTTTAATTCTTTAAACAAGCCTGTCACTAGTATGTTGGTCTTCCTTAATGCTTTGAGATAGATTAACGAGGCTCTTAAGGGTTTAGACGGTACAATCACACCAGTCTGAAACGGCCTTAGACAAAAATCTGAAATATTGCTCTCCAATGGATTGACGTACAATGGACTGGTACTAAATGGGGTATTTAGAGAATGACCAAACACTGGGCTCGGATTAGGCGACGATAATTCAGACTGACCACTCGGATGGGATCCCTAGACGGTTGTCAACCAATTTAAAAATAGATGACCCATAATGGGGGAAAAAAGCATACCATAACAATGTTGGAAAATAAGCCACGTCTTTATTGAGGCTTTCAAATGGCAAGGGTGTCACCAGTTTCCGATGCATTGTGGTGGGAAAAATGCACTCTAGCATAGGTGCATTTCCCACTAAACATGTATGACTAAACCAAGAACCTCCCAATTCAAATCCAGTACTGCATGTCGGCTAGGGTCTGGGCTAGCAGGAGTCATGGGTAAACCGGTTGATGGTTGGGCAAGTCATTGCCCATGCCAACTGTTAAACCTGTGAATAGTTTTATGAAACCCCCCCTGCAAATCCACCTGAAGGTGCTTTTCAAGCAACCAACATCCAAAGAACATATTATCGGACCGATGCCTACCCCAGACGCTGCCATATTTTTACACACAGCACCCCAGTGTTTAATCATTAATTGGTTAAAACAGCAGAGTAGGACTTCATGCACTGCATCTCGTCAAACCAAATTCTCCTCGACATGAATTGTCTGGCAATGGAGACTGGCTGGCTTTAAGTGAAGCGACTGGGGTGGTTTAATTAACCACACGGCGCCATCGAGAAAGCATGAAACGGCAAGTGCATAACAATTTCACCAGAGCCAAGGAAGGAATCAGCGGCACGGCACTGCAAGACCAAAAAATTCCAAAAGCCTAAACCGGCCGCCAAGAATTGATGCAGGAATTTTATTGGACAGCATGGCGCAAAATGACCAGCAACTTTAATAACCATGAAAGTTTAATTACACCAAGCCATTACAAAGGTGACGAATGTAATTGGCGTACAATAACCAATTGACTGCAGTCAATTTGAGTTAAAATTGAGGTGCATTAACATGGTCACTGGTTTACTTTGTTCGTGGTTGGTGAACGCGAGCCATTAAATTGCAAGGTTTTCGAAAGCAGTGGTTAATTTAATGAAGCAAACCCCTTACAAAAAAACTTAAAATAACCAACAGCCACTTTACAAACTCCTTCGTACGTTTACGAAATTGTGAACTTGGCTTTTCAAGAACGTCTATAAATATCAGTAAAAGTCTCTACATCAGGGCTGCACATCCACTAAAGGGAACGACCTGTTGAGCAGCATTAGGTGAAGAGTCAACCCTTTACAGATAGGCCTTTATGGGTGCAGAGGAAGACTTACACACGCTCGACTTAAATACATGGGGCGCCATTGGCAGGTATGAAGGGGTCGTGGAGCATGCAGGACAATGGGGATTGCACAGGGCACTCTCAACCTAAGTGCATGCATTTATAATGCATGTGCATGCACTGCAGAAGTGACATCTTTGATTACTCAGGAAGAGACCTGTTTTTCACCTTTCTGCCGAAAAACCCAGTGGAAACTGCCTTTCTGCAAACGCACGAGTCAGACCAAAGGGCTTGCGTACAGGGAGAACATAAGTGCAGTTCCCTCAATTTCTGCCACTGCTGTTTATTCCTGCCACTGTGGCATAGATAGTAATTTTGGATGCACACATTTTATGAACACATCATGAAAAATGCAACTTGCCAACCACCCCGCTTGAGCAGTCGAATATGCCGCTTCCCACATTGCCACACTGACAGGTAAACCAGCCCTTATCATGCACGGGCACCCTTACTTTCCTCCCCATGCTGCCACTGGCACGTCCCCATACTAATTTTTAAGACAAGCCCTGCTCTTGGATGTTGGAAAATCACTTACTGCCAAATTCAAAATAAAAAAACCTAAAAGCTACCCTTCAACGGACCGTATTTTATATCTGGGAAACCTTTACACGGGTCATGTTTTTTACGTTGATGAAACAGCTGTATTGTTCCCCAGTGTTAGCTTGCAGACCCCGCTCCTCCTTAACATCTGTGACAAAGAGCTTGATAGTTCATTTTATTCCTCCAGTATGAAGATTCTGATATCACGTGTGCAATTGCGTGTTGCTGATGGTGAGAAGCAGTAGGCAAGGCTGGGTGTATGGTGCGCGCACACGCAGGTGTGTGCGCGGAAGAGTGGTTCAAGGAGGCCGACGTGTGGGCGACACAGTAGAGAAGAGATTTCGGTGGGGAGGTTGTGTCTGGGAGGAGAGACGGGATGATTACTGCGACGTGGTTAGAGCTCGCTTCTGTCAAATTCGTCCAGCTCGACATCGCTGAGGTCAATATCATCCTCCACTGGCAGCTGTAGAAAAACAAAACCAGAAAATTTAGGGGCAAGACCTAAGCAAGCACAAAAACTACAGGCAAAGAAAAATTCCTGTGTGCAGTTGACAGGATCTGTAGTTTTATTCGAAGGCTGTAAAACTTAGTTTAACAATGTCCACGATTTCATACGTTCTCATGCTTTTGGATCATAATTATATTCCTTTTTGTGCCTGCTTTGCATGTACAATCAATCGTGGTACAAAACCTATAAACACATTACTAGTTGCAGACTGTTCACTTTATAAATTGGCAAGACAAATTACTTTCTTCACAGACTACTTATATTCAAGTTGAGCACAAGACTTAAAAAAGGTAGAACTTCAAGCTGATGCCCCCTGCCCATAAAACCAATTAACCTCAAGGCCGTAATTTGAGGGGTCAATTTAAAATCTTCTGATTTTTGTCAGTAGAAGCATAGCTTTGACTGCTGCCGACTTGCTGCTGGCCTTCCAGCCTGGTGGTGGCTGGAGGATGTGAGCAATCTCTACAGCTCCCTCACCTCTCCATCCTTGCCATCCCACGCCTCCTTACTGATGATTGGTGGCAAAGCAGCTCCCTTGACCGGTGCTGTTGAGCCCCGTCCCACAGACAGTTCCCTGCAAGACAAAGGGACCCCCCCGCCACAAGGCAGCAACTCTTGAGAATACGAACCACTCAATATTGTGCTCGTTTCCCATTTATTCCTCTTTTCACATTTTTAAAAGCTGCCTAAATGAAACATGGTTCCAACAAACTACTTCACATGCAGCTCAGGTTAAAATGTTTTTGGTTTGTTGGCTTCCACTGTATAAATCTAACCTATAGTCTCAATCGATCTTGTCAACGTGGCTCTTCACTTGCCTCGTCATCTCTACATTCAAGTTTCATTTATTAGGTATAGTCCTGTGAGCCATGCGGCTCTTGAGTCAGGTGCAACCACAATAAACAAAATATGAACAGAGAACATCTTAAAGCGACGACGCGCAACAGAAACATCCTGGATAAACCAGCAAATCTTCCAGAAAAAAAAACGTATGACAACGCCGTGTGCAAATATCCCAGTGTGATGCAAGTCAAAAAATAACAACCATAAGACAATTTAGATTAAAGCTATCAGGCCAACTCCGCACTTCCACAAGAAACATGGCTTAACCAAATGTTTTCGAAATCACCAAAATAAAGATACAAAAACAATGTAACAACAGTAATCATAGGAACTGTGATTCAAATTTAATAATAAACGATATACATAACATGTACGACCAAACTTGCAGCTATAGCTGGCAGCATGACACATCACCTCTACATCCACTGTTTGTTTGGATCTCTTATAGTTTGTCACATCTAAACTATCACACGTCTCCTCTCACTGCATCTGCTTTCTCTGGAATCATTGTCTTGCATCTGGTTCAGTCCGATTTCTGTCATACAACTTATTTACTCTTATAAAATACTATTCAGCTTCTGTTCGCTTCTGTTGAGCAATGGGCCTTCAGAGCAGGTAACATGCCCCATTTGTGTACATAAGGGCTCTTAATAAGGGCCATTACCTAAAATATTTGTCTACTAAATATTTATGTTTTCAGTTGTCATTAATGAAAAAGGTCACATTTTTGTCTCCAATTTGTGCTTTCACAACACCAATGCACTCCAACATTTCCTATCTAATTTGGAATGCCTTACTTCAAAACAATCCAAAACCGAGCTACCCAAGAGCCTAAAAATAAATAAATAACCAAAAATAGGTAGGAAGGGAGACTTTCCCATCTTGACAGGTCATTGAATGGGGCAGAGGTCACTACAGAAATTAAAGTTTGAGGCTCGGCAGGCAATGACGTGCTGCTCCTCACCGTAGGAACTCGTTGATGCCGCTTTCGCTGAAGGAGCCCTTGAGGATAGCGAACTTCATTTTACGAGCGTTGACAGCCGCCATGGCTGGATAGCCGAAACCTCCGATCCCCAGGGAATCCTCCAGCTCAGGCTGAGCCCCAGCTTCTGTCCACAGCCACCTTGTGGATAAATGCACATCGCAACACAATATTGTGTAACGTCCGTTCAGGATGAAGAGCTCACACCATGCAAGTACAATTATTCCACCCATTGTTGAGGGTTCTTATGGACTGGTATGGACTCAGGTCGCTGGAGTTGTACTGCTGTGTGATTATCACCTACTCCCACCAGAGGCACATATCCATGGTTCCTCACACGAACACATACAAGTGCAGAGATCACGACAACTCTTATGTAGCTCTTGCTGTATCGCATGCACACTGCACCATCTCACTGCATCTCTTCCGTTTCAAATTGATTGCACTACCGATTCTGTCTCTTCTGTCAGATTGACTGGTACTTTCAAAACACACCATAACATCCATACATGTCCCCACACACCCACACATCCATCCTGGTGATGAAGCATTAATCCGAGGCAGCTTGAATAGGTGTAATGTTTCAACTCCCAGCATCACCCAGCCCTTGCTGCACACACATTCCAACAATCACAAATGCACAAGTCCAGGTAGCAAAAAACGGACATGTTATATAAAGAGAGGCTATCAATGCCTCGCTTGTCCAGTAAGGTAGTCTCACATGCTCACCCCCACAGCTTCTTCTTGTATTTGTCTGCCATCCCTTGTAGGGTGGCGATGTAGCCATTCCTGCCAGTAGCCCCTACAAAAGAGGCAACCGAACAATCCGTCAATCAACCAGTAGGGGTGTGCGTGAACAAGTGCGCATGGGTATGAATGGGTGGGAGATTGAGTAAGCGAACGAGCATGTAAGCGAATTGGTTGGGTATGTGAATGGGCGAGTCAGTGAGCGAGCACACAAGGTGACAATATCAGTTTAAGGTGACAGTATCAGTTTACAAATTAGTGAAATAAAGAGGTAGTATGACAGCAGGTTGGGAGAGCCTTTGGAAAACTTAATTTAACAATGAAAACATATTTTTAAGTAATGTTTTCAGTGACATGGTTCAGAAACATGGACATTGACAAAGAAAATGTAAAAAATGTGCAAAAAGATACTTGAAATTCTACAGAAATAGGAACATCGACTAGAGAAAATATGAAAGTTGTAGTAATTTTGACTTAAGAAAGGTGGGCATGGGAAGGACACCACTAATGGGACCGTGGACAATGCTCGAGACTAAGAACAAGGTGCCAGCCAAAGGTCAACTGTGGAGATGGGGTGACGAAATCAGCTTAAGTGCAGGCACTAGAATTTTGTTACATATCATACCCTGGGACACCCTTGCAAATGAGATGGATGTCATGTCAATTCAACTCCAAGTGATTTTTAATAAACAAGATATCAGGACCACGAGAGATGTAATAGCTTAGATAGGCTTTTATCCAGCAGTGATCAGTGAGTTGGTGAGTGGGAGTTTGAGTGAGCAGGTCAATGATTGGACGATTGAGTAGGTTGAGTGAGCAAGCGAGCAGATGCGAATGAGTGAGCTAATAAGTATCTGAAAAAGTGAATAAGCATTGAATATAAGTTGGGTAAATGAGTGAGTAGCAAGTACCCGTGTCAAGAATGTGTGGCAGGATCGACACTATGCACAGCTGATGCTCTTCACAGCTTTTCTTAACCACATCCTGGTTGAGGATCTACAGCAGACATCAAAACACACAAAGGTTTTAAACAGAGATCAAGAGGCAAAACAGGGGCCGTCTCAGCTTTTGTCCATGTTCGAATCCTGGCAGCTACCTACATCAGATTCAACTACTTAACTACAGTGACCTGATAGTTTCAACCTGATTAACGTCTTCAGAACTCAAAAAATGTTGCTTTTAATTTAAGGACACCCATTTCATGCCTCCAACATGCTTATCTCACGCCTGCATTATATAGTCACAATGCCCGGTGCGTAACACACATGTGCAACAGCTTCAACTCACAGCTCACTTGTTAATTATTTTTGATACGATAAAAAGAAACGTTTTAATTCAGAAAGGCCTTACTGGGTCTAGTAGAAAATGCACTGGGTCTGTCCCACCAGTTGCTTCCCAGGTATTGTTTTGCACAATGGAGGAAATCAGAAGTTATGGAGAAAACCCACACATCATGTAAAAAACACCCCAAAATGCAGGAAAATTTGCCGAAGCAACTGGCTGCATTGCCACAAAATGGCCAACTGAACTTGCAGCCTGTACGTGTTGTTTCAGAAATAATCTTACCTCCACGACCTCAGGAGCAGGAGCATTGTCGGTGTACAGTTCAAGAGCATACGCCACAATGTCGGACTTTGTGCGGCCACCCTGGTACTCCTGTGGCTCGTCCTCACCCTTGCGGAACACCTTGATGGTGGGGAACCCTCGGATCTATGCACATGAACACACGTGGTTTTACACTCTGTTAAGATTCATAATGGACTCTTGCCCCCTGCCATTCTCACCCCTCTCATTTCACCACTCCCCTCCAAGGGGAGGGGGGGTGGGGAGGCGTGGTCATGTCCAAAGGACGTGTGGGCTGCTAGTAATATTATTAAACGCATGTAGAACTTCTTTCACACAGTACGTCCACCAGTCCCCTCACCCCAAAGCGGTTGGACAGTTCCTGATTGACTGTGGCGTCCACAGCAGCGAGTTTCACACGCCCATTTGTCTGTGCCTTCACCTCAGTGGCTGCAGCAGCCCATTCAGGTTCTAATCTGTTCGCACCACAGCCACAAAGTCAACCACAAAGAGAAAAAAAATTATATCTGGTTAGACGCAGTCCGAGACGCACACAGCTAGCCAAATGACCAGTCAACACAAGGGGACAAATGGAGCTAAATTACCAGATGTCATTCATGAGTCTTGTTTGTACATTTCTGTATATAAATGTGATATACCGTTGGCATTTTCACATTATAAATTAATTGTACCATCAGGAGTTAAAAAAATGAAGACAAGATACATTCATTCCAGAACTTGTATACAAGGTTTCGGGCTCAATCTAAAACAGTTGGCCTACTTCAACAGATGTCACTGCGATAGCCTTCTCTCATCACTTTAGTAATGGTTTCTAATTTGTTTAAAATACCACTTAATATTAATAAAAAAATGCTGGAAACATTTTATTCTGATATAATCCTACCAATTTCATCCCTCAGCCAGTTAAAGAAATATATATGCTAAAAGAGCAAATCAATGACAACCTTTTATTTATGCAGTCTTTGATACCAGGGCAATCTTAAGAGCAGCATCGTTAGACCAATGCTGTACAGGTGTGCTGCAGTGGAGGGTGTTTGCGAAGCGTTGTGGTTTTTTTTAAATGCACTTGCTTTTTGCAGTGGCCACACCAAGGCGCAAAGAACTCCACAATCCAGGTGTCATCACTGCCGATGACTTTCTTATTGAAGTCATCATCTGTGAGGTTGATGACGTCATCTTTGCCACTTCCAGAACCACCGCTGCTTCCTCCCTGTCAAATGGCGACAGTGCTTTATTATACACGAGAATATGAAGTAAAAAACATATCCAAAATTATATACCAATCTCCAAATGGCAACCTTTATTGAAGCACGGATTTACCCCCTTCACATTCAAATGAACAATCACGATTTGATTGTATATTTTGCTTGTGGTGCATGCAAAATATATGGTGGATTGTTATACTAGTGTTATAACCCAAAGTAGTTAAGGGGTTTACTACATTGAAGATTAAATACAATGTTTACTCTCACTCATTGAACGAAATGTAGTAAGTAACTTCAGATGGGGTAAATGTTATTTTATTTGTTGTGCTTGAATAGACCCATAACTATGTACACAATTTAATTATATTTTACAGATCTACCAACTTTTTTTAAACATTCAGTGGTATTCAGTAAAACTTTGTATCTAATAGTTTGATGATCTCTTCAAAAATTAACACTTTTATCACAAAATAAAATTAGTTTCTGTGCTTCCCTGCCAACCTAGAAAAGCTCCCACAGTGAACAGGTCAGACGAAATATACAATTACTTTAAGTGGATCACTCATGCCCACTTGCATGAGTACTTAAAAACTCAGCTTAACAAGCTGGCCAGTGTACAAATGGCTCCGCCAGAGTAATAAAATTGAATAAACTCATCTTTGCATAAACACGTATTTGCGTAATGGAAGACCATGAAAGGATTGTTCAACAAAAACATGTTCCAAAGCATACACAAAGCTCTGCGTATTACCATATGCCCTACCCATAAAGACCTCATTACTATGCATATTTTTAGAAATCGAGTTCAGGAGTTAAAATGCATAAATCAGGAGGCATGCAATGATCCATAGATACAATGTTAGTGATTTTTAGGCATACAATAAACACATTGATTTGTGTAAGAATGGATACGTTTATATGTTGCATTTCATTGGTTCACATGACAGGAAGCAATAATAACTGGTTCTTTCATAAATGACAATTAATACATTCTTGGGGTAGGGAGGGAATTACTACACGTATCAATTATGGTTTGCCTTCCACAACCTAGCACAGTGTGTACATTCATTATGCTAAATGATACTGGTTTACGCTTACAGAAGCCATTTCCTGAAAATGTATTTATATTATTTAAAATACTTAAAAATAATGTATTTTTACAGAAACTCGTCAATGAATATCAATACTTTTTACATAGTCTGACCTTGGAACTTTTAGACAAATATATTTTCAAGAATGCTTTGCAAATGAGGAAAAACAAGTATAGATATTAATGAAAAATATAGTTAAATTTACTGCCAAAATATAAGATGGGCACAAACCATCATGGCCCTGTGTTGTGTAATGCCAAGTGCATGCCATGAGTGTGTTGGTACCTGTTTTCCAGAGTCAGAGCCTCCCTTTCCCCCCAGCCGATCCTTCACAAGTGACCGCAGGGCACCCAAAGCACCATCCACTATGCCCTGTGTCGTCCTGCCACCTAAAAAAACACAAAGCTCAGCTCAGTGTCTGCGAGCCAAATTCAATCAAGAGAGCTTCTTTACAACAGGGACCTTCTGTCAGCACTGTCAACAGGATGTCACTTCCCCTCTAAAGCCTCGTCCACACTCAATGTGAAATAGTTCCTTCTCTACTTCCTGGTACCTGGAACCTTCCCATTGGCTAATCAGTGCCATATCCCTCCCACTGCTCAAATAAAAGATGGTGTCCAATATTTCACGTGAATAATTTTTTTCATCAAATCCTAAATCTCATTATATCTACACTGTTGAAATAGCTTTGACTTCTAATAACCTTTTCACCACGTGCTTAAAAAAATTCCCCTTTCTATATGTCTCCAGTTATCAAAAATAGGCCATCCTCCACCTCTTCAGATACCATCATATTTAGGTTATTGATAAATTCCAGTTGCAATGCACTGTATAGTCAAGCAAAACTTTTTTTTATTAAACGATACAAGACTTAAAAAAAAATCATAGAAAGCAACTGCCAATGAATAATGCTGGGGTATTTAGTTAAATAGTTATATGATTGGAGTGCGAGATTTGTTTGTGAGCTCACCGTTGAAGTCTTCAGGCTTGTTCTTGTTTATGCCAAAGATCTTGATGGTGGGAAATCCACGAACGTTGTATGTGGAGCCAAGTCCCTTGTGCTCGTCTGCATCCACAGCACCCAACTTCACTATGCCCTGTATCAATTTGAAAAACACTCTTAAAAATGTTACCCTGAAAAAACACGTTTTCCTTTGTGTAACTTACGATATTTACCCAAGAATGTCAGTGTGTAACGCCAGTGACGTCATTCCACGTCGATCAGCCCCCCTCATTAATAATCATTAACAGGTTACATCCTCCACATGGACCCACCCCTCATTGATAATGTCACTCCGCATGGAGAACCCTCCCATTAATAATAATTAGCGGGTGACGTCACTCCACATATGGGGTGTGGGGGGGGCGAGGCACCTCCTCCCTCCTCAGTGTCAACTTACAACCCTCACTACACACGATCTCCGTAATGCTATTGAGACAGAAGTAAAAAGGACATCATGATGAACAAGGGATTATAACCTTTAAATTAAGGAAGTCTGTCACCGCGGCCTTACAAATTGCACACGAATGGGTGCAATGAATATCACTTTGCGGTCTGCTTTTCACTTGCAAGTTTCAGATTTACTGCAATACACCCATCCTTGAACGGGCAAGAGGCTAGTTGTAAAAATACAATTTTAACATCATGAAAACCTAAAATGAGTTTCAGAACTCCTTTTCAGGTGGATCTTGCATCAGTATGTTTGACCAGTTCTTACAAGTTTTTCCATGTGGGAGAATTCACCCATATAAATGACGATACTCTAAAGTCTACACAGATAGATTCAATAATCCATTTGCTGTACTGCCATCTCACAGCCTAGCAGGTTTAGAGATTCACAAATAGATTTGATCCACCAATAAATATCTTCAAATCGTTGAATTACAGGCAAGTGCCAAACACCGCAAGCCACGTGGTAAAGTGAGTGGCCCTACATCTCTAACTCCTACCTCTCAGGTAGTTTGGTATTGTTTTTCAGAAAATCGATTTAACGTTCCAGAATTTGTAAATGTGTACTAGAAGATAATTCACCACCCACCCCCCTGAGTCCACATTTTGTCACGATTCTGGGACACGAATTGGACTAAATAAAGGATTATTTTTTTACATCGTGATGAATATCATGCCACGAGTGGATGCACAGGTTATGCAAATTGCTTACTTGCAATATAATCAATCTTGCATACATGATGCAACCGAGTGACCTAGTAAATTTTAATCAATAAATTTTACCATGTCAATTCAAATGAGCTCGGCCAATTCAAATGAGTTGCAAACTCATTTTATCATTTAAAACTCAATGTCCTTTGTTTAACCAGCTAAGCTTAAGAATCATTACCGCATTAAGGAGGAGGACCTTAATAATGCATATAAGCAGGAATAGATTATTAATTCAAAAAAATTGCATTAAGTAACTTGGCAAATTTGTGAACTGGGTTATGTCACTTGGTACACAATGACCTACTTTTGCAAATGTCATTTTATAATTCACGGTTGACTTTGATGCACTTCAGGAATTATTGGCCCAGCTCGTGGAAATTGAAAAGTCTGTGCAAATGGCTCCGTTGTGAGTGCAATGACTGATGATCCTGTTTATAAACCCCCTTTATAATGTTTGATAAACAAACATCGTGTTTTACTTATCATTATTCCCATGTGAAGTACGACAGCGTTCAGTCAAGTAAATCACTACAACGTAAGGGAGTCAGGTAAACATAAATCCATCACCTTAAGAGCGGTGGCCGCCTTCTTCCATTCTGGTATTAGCCTTTGGCAATGCCCACACCTTGAGGAGAAAAAAGGTACAATTTCTAATAGACGCATGGAGAAAACCTCAATTAAGGACATTGCACTCAAACATCTACTGCATAGATACACTAGCATCCCACTTGATGAGTATTAAAATAAACACACGGTTAAGTTTTGATCTAAAGCTTTCGTGACTGCAGGGATTCATATTCCTGGTTCTGTCGGTAAAGTCACGAAGAAGAGAAACAATCAAATATAAAACAATAAAATTCCGAACATAGATGGACTCGTCCATCTGAATAACTGCCAAATCGCTCTCCGTGGTGCTAACGTTAAAAAAACGCCACTTTTTTAAATTTTCTTGCTGTGGTTTTCACACCTGATGACGATTGCTTGTGTTGCAGTCGAAACGTCGTGAGAATTTTATTGTTTTATATTTTTATTATTTTATTGTTTCCCTTCTACGTGACTTTACCGAAAGAACCAAGAATACACGGTTGTCTGTTTAAATGCTGACATTAAAGATCACTAATGGCCCTTCCAGGCCTAGGGTTTAAAACAGCATGTACCGGAAAAGGAATATCCTGGATTTATTTCAATTTTTCTTGGTCTAATCAGGAGGGTGTGGCCTATGTTACTAATGTTATCCAGGACTCTAAATGACAGACGGCCACAAACCAAGTTATTTTTTTCCCAGATTTCCTGTGGAAATGCTATGCTATCCTCTGGCCACAAAGGTCATGAACACAAGTGAGACACAAGGCCAACACGCATGTGTGAGTGAGTGTCGTACCAGGGTGCGTAAAACTCCACGAGCCACAGGTCATTGCTCTGGACAACTTCACGGTTGAAGTTGCTGGCCGTCAGCTCTATCACATCATCGCTTGGTGAGTACAGGGCTTGTGCCCCGGCCACCAGCACTCCCAGAACCAAAGCACCTGCGCACAATGGGTAGGGTGTGAGAGAGGGGATTGAAGCAGGAAACAAAACAGTGGGATACGCAAAAAAGCATGTTTCACCAAAATTGTTAAGTAGGGGTTACATATACCAGTTGTGAGAACAAAGGACTTGCATTTGGAAGGTTGTAGAGTTAAAATCTCAGGCGAGAGTCAACTCAGCCAATCATCTCTTTGGGGTCAACAGACCACTTTTCAGGCCAACAAGTGGCTGTACTCGGGATTTACTCGCTGCCGACAGAATATGGAATTTCCAAACAATGACCAAAGACTTTAACCTCCCCATTATTGGGAAAAAGAGTAAAAACGGCGAAACTTGTCAGCATTCTCTGGCAACTATAATAGGATTTTACGCGCGTCTCGTGTACATTAGCCAAACTGACACGTATGAGCAAAGTAAGAATGACTTCGTGACAACATGACCCGCATGTCAATCGTGTTACGTAGAGAAGACTGCATTATTCATTTGATCTCACTTTCTCGTATATGATACAGAATGTAATTACTGTGCTGTATTAGAATATGGAGCGGTCTCATACAGCAGACGGTGAATATCTATCGAAATTCAACTGGATACATTTCTGGATGATTTATCTTTTAGACACCGCTTAAAATTTATGTTAAAAGAACCCTCACTGTTCAAGGACATACCATTAAATTACAGTAGTCAATCTAGCTCTCCTTTGCTGGTGTTTATTGAACGCAATACAATATCAACTGCTTGAATAGACACCGCAATTGTTGACCTGCCTTGTAAAAAGTTATGAATTTTACCCGTGAACAATTAAGACCTACGGAGTCAAAAGTTTCGGATTCGTTTCCATAGAGTTCACGATGCTCAAATAGGATCTGGTTAATAAAGCACATTCAACTTACTCTTAAAGATGACACGTACGTGGGACAGAAAACTTGTTTGATGCTTGAAAACACCTTTAATTTGTTAATAATTGTTGCCGAACTTCAGATGAAACAATCATTCGTAGATTTACCTTCGTAAACAACTTTATCAATTTATTATTTTATTCTCATTCTACGTGACTTTACCGAAAGAACCAAAGAAGATGTTACACGTAGCACGTATAAATCTCGGGTAAAACACGCTACGGTTTAAAACGCAACGGTGACCCAACACAAAAGTGTCATTTGCATCAGCACGGTATGGCAAATACGGCGTTAACAAAAAACGTGTAACATTAAACATTGATATCAATACGACGATAATATTACCACGGCTTTACCTCAATAAAATGTTTTCAAAGTATTCGCGTCCCCTTTAAGCATATCGACCCGCACGCATTTTAACACCAAGCGATGGAATAACATGAAAGGCAGATCATCGCTAATGGATAAGCATCGCTATTTCCGGCGCAATTACAAAATTGTACCTTCAAGAAGCTTATTGAACCATGTTAAATGTTAGTTGCGTGTAACGAGTTCCTCACCGTGGAAGAGCCCCATGCTCGGACTGTGTCGCTCCCACCGCTGTCGAACACACGCGCCCCCCCACCCCCACCCACCCGTGAATTTATATACAGGAATCGATTCGCGACACACGGGCGATTCTTTCACCTTTACGATTCGCGGTCGCGATTGAACCCGATCAATGATCGGCGCCGTCGATTCCCGCACGTTTGCCGCAACGGCGACAAACAAATCCAAATCGATTCTCCAATATGCCCACAATTCCGGAGTCGAACGCAAGGGGGAATCGAAGAAGTGCCGTTGGAATCGCCCCGCGGCGCGAGACGCCGGCTCGAGAGGCCGTTCCCGCCCCACGTCAACGCGCCGCGCCGTGGCCCCTCCGCATTGGTCCGATGGGCGCGTGACGTCACGTACGTTCTAGGTTATTTTATTTTGAAATATTTTTTTTTAAATAAAACGCAAGCACACCAATGTCATTCACGCGCGTGTCATTATTTCGGTCAGAATTGCAACAAAATTATACTTGAATGTGAAAGTCCCCCTGCACGGGATGTCGGTGGGCGGGGTCGATGCCACTTGCAGATATCCGATTGGCTGTTGGAGCAGCCAATGAGCGACAAGTACGTGTGTTATAATGACCCAATCTCGGCGATACACACACACGGGTGCGTGTAGTGATGTATCGTTATCTCGTTTGTATTTAGACTTTAAAAAAATGTTTTCATGCAAATGCCAAATGAGTCACACAACGTTTCATTACCAAGGACGCAACTTTAAAACACATTGCGGAGTTTTATTTTCCGTTGACGGTAAAAATGTACCTCAGAAAAGGGAACTTTTTTGTTGGCTTGACCACGATGTGTGGTGCCACACGTGTTACTTAACTGAGACCAAACGAAAAAAATTAACAATGTCTCCACATATCCGTCTCCACATATACAAATACTACAGGAAACATTTCCTACACACACCATTAGCCGCACCGCATTTTGGAAGTGCATACACTCAGCAAGCATTGATTCAAGACGACAACACTTGGACTGGTTTCGACACGCGGTGTCTCAATCGGGCTCCCTCGTCACTATTTACAATATACAACATTAGAAGTGACCTGCCATGTACATCATCTCGCAAGTTCACATGCACGTGACACAGCCCTTGCTACGCAGGGCTTACAACCCTCGAAACGTACTGCCAGGACTCTTAACGGCTGGTCTAAGTTGGATGATCATTTCCATCGACGGAGACTCCGACCAAATCCCTCCGAAACAACCACCAAGCGCTTTCCACCTAAACAATCCCGTTGCAGATGCCTCCCTTGATGTGTCCTTCCGTGGTAGCCCAGGGCGCTGTGACCCCAATTCTACATATCTAGGGTCTATCATGGACATAAGTCTGACCTCTACGCTCCAATGAAAACAGATCCGTGAAATGAACAATTCAAGAAACGCTCTGCTACAGAAACTTGTAGGGTCGACCTGACGCTGAGGTGTTGCGAACTACCGCCCAATCACTGATCTACTCAGTGGCAGAGAATTGTGCTCCAGCCTGGTCCAGGAGCTATATTTTTTATTTATTTTAAGATTTATTTTTAGATTGTATCTTATAGCTATTTTATATTCTATATTTATTCAATTTTATATACTTCAGCCCCTTGGTGTTAGTTAAACTTTGAACCCTTATTATAGTAAGACTTGTTTACCACTTATTTAAGATTTCTATATGTTGAATGTATGCACCATCCTGCCAAAGTCAATTCCGTGTCTGTGAGAACTTTCATGGCGAATAAAATCCTTTCTGATTCTGATTGTACGCAGCACTGCCAGATGAACAGATAAATAACGTTGCAACCGATACCGATTTCCCCGGTTCCCTGGCGAACATTCTGACGCCACACGTTCTTGCCAACGACAGCCTGCCTACCTATCAATCAAGACCACAACAATGTTCCTCGCTACCCACTCAAGTCGCTATCCTCGTTCTGGAATTGCGCCGCCAACATCTTAAAATCTCACCAAGTGCCGGAAGAACAGAGTGGAACTACGCGGACGTCCAGAATAAACGCCTCATTCGAGACCCAAACATAGCACCTCCCGGCTTTGACATGCCTCCTCGAAGTCGCCGATGGTGGAGCCATCAACCGCACCAGGACAACAATGGGCCGATTCGCACATCTTCATGAATGGACTATTAAATACAAAGAAAAGTGGTGCGACCGTGGCAGTGCAACCCACATTGTAGAGCACGCAGTTAGTAAACTCCTGCAGTCTGTGCTTCTTCAATAGAGGGATATATTTGTGCCTATGTGTGTATCTCTCTCTGTTTGTCTGTGTGTGAGTCTCTCTCTCTGCTTGTGTGTCTGTCTGTGTGTCTTCGTGTCTATGTTTTGTCTCTCTCTCAAATTGAGCAATCTTTGGAAGAGCGTAATCAACCAGGTGGGGTGTTGACTGTTGTGTTGGCCGACTCTCTGTGTTGTATTGCATTATATTTCCAAGTTTACTATGTTTGTTTTCTCATTCATTTGTACCTGATGATGGTTGCTTGTGTTGCAATCGAAACGTCGTATTATATTATTATTTAACTTCTTCCTACATGACTTTACCGAAAGAACCAAAGAGTCCAAGAACTCTCTCTTGAAGCCTCCTCGTGGCTATCAGGCGTCGAAATTGGCAAGGACCGTTTCTTTACGTTATGGGGTCTCGATTAAATTATTTGGTGATGTTGCTGCGTTTTGTAGCAGTGGTGCACAAACACAATTAACATAAGTCCTAATACAATCGTCAATAACACTGTGGCCTTAGAAGGAAACATTTAATATATGTTTAGGAAAAACTACCTTCTGCGTAGTACATTAATGATAGCTGGCTTCTGCAAGGCACTTGTGTGTGATGAAGGGTCATTATCAAAAATGTCGGCAATTATATATATTTTTAATGTAACGTTATCAACGAACGTTTTTAGATATCATATATAAAATACACCTTTTAGAATTAACTATTATAAACTCATAAATTCGCAATTTTATTGCAATATTAATCAACGATAATATTCATAATACAGGTTTTTTTGGGTTAGATCACGATCTAACCCAAAAATACCTGTTTTAAGGAAGATGATATTGGTCGCGAAAGCCTACGTGTTAAACTACGTATGATATTATATTCTTGGTTCTTTCGGTAAAGTCATTGTTTTGTTTCCTTTCTACGTTACTTTACCGAAAGAACCAAGAATATGAATCCCTGCAGTCACGAAAGCTTTGACTCAAAATTTACGTATAATATTATTAACCAACCGGAATGTGCCTGACCTCGTTATATTATAGCAGCTAAGCCGGGTTGAGTCTCGGTTGTGCTTGAATTGCGCGACCACCAGGTGTTATAGGCTGCCACGGGGTTATGTGTTGGGAAATAGAGGGCAGTGAAGCAAAACCGATTCATAGTTTATTTATTTCATAGTTTATTTATTTGGTATAGCCCTGTGAGCCATTCGGCTCTTGAATCGGGTGCAACCTCAACAAACAAAAAACATGAACAAGAAAACATCTTCAAGTGATTATGTGACTGTGCAAACAGAAAATCCAGGAAAAAAACAATCAAAAATATTCCTGAAATAGCACCGTACACCAACGCTGTGTGCAAAAATCCCAGTGGGATGCAAGTCAAATAACAACAACAACAACCACAAGACAACTAAGATTAAGGCCACCAGTCTAACTCCGTACTACAATAAACAAAAACATGGCCAAAACAAAAAAAAACTTTTCGAAATCACCAAAATAAAAGCCATAAATGCAATGTAACAGTGATCATAGGGACTGTGACCGAATTTTTAACAAACTACATAAATAAATTATAACACCAAAATCTAGAGCCATATTTTAGGCCACTGAATAGCAGTGGCAGCTAGGGGTGTACAACTCCTCTGGAGCAGTTTTGAGTGAAGATCTCATAGATAATGATTCAAGTTGCAGTTTATTGGCAATAGCATTCCAAACCCTGGGGGCATCAATAGCAAAGGCCCTTCCTCCGGTTTTTGTACGGCAATAGGGAATGTGAAGCTGGTAGATGAGCGAAGACCTGAGGTCAAATTTGTTCTTTGAAACAGAGAGGAGATCCAGTAGGTAGTCTGCGGATTTTTTTGTAAGTACATCGTGAATAAATAAGATCTGGTGCACAAGCCGTCGAACATTAAGAGATGTTAAGTTTGACCCAATGTAGGGATCACAGTGGTGAGTCCTATATGGGCAGTTCAATGCAAATCTTAAGGCCGAGTGATAGATGGAATCAACCTTCTTCAGTACAGTACTTGGGGCTGATTTATACACGATGTCACAGTAGTCAAGTAGAGGCAGTATGGTAGCTTTTATCAATTCCAAACGGAACATTGGGGGGAAGCAGTGCTTGTGTCGATACAGAAAACCAATTTTTATTTTTGTCTTTTTACCAATATAATCAATGTGATCTTCAAAATTAAGTTTTGAATCCAGGATGACCCCAATATACTTATAGATCTTGACTTGCTCTATTTGATAATTATTCAAGGAATGTAATTGGGGAAAATGACTTCCTGCTTTAGTCCCGGTGAGAAGCATAGCACCTTGGTTTTGGAGGTATTCAGGACTAGTTTAAGAGAAACTAACTGATGTTGTAGTTTGTTGAAATCACCCTGGAGCTTAGCAATCACGTCATCCGGAGACCGAACATCTACGTCCCCACCAGCTTCACTAATCCGCAGCTAACCAGCGTGGTGATGTATGGTCAAATAACTCCTACGGACCAGCTTTGGTGTGGGAAGGCCCTCAACAAACAGTGGATTGACAAGTGAGTTCTAAATAATAATACTTATTATGTTATTTACAATTAAATTTACAAACAAATATTAAAATATGGGTTGATATGACAGTACAGATACCGCCTATAATTTCTTAAAACGCATTAGTTTATTGGTACCATTTGTGCATTATTATCCTATATTTGTTTAGAAAAACAAAGGTTGTTTTACTGAAATAAATTACACTGCAGCATTTCCTGGGTAAACAAGTGTAATAATAAGCTTAATACTATTTTAACATACTATTTATGCACAGTAGGAGGCACACTTTGGCCAGATAATAACGCTAATAATAATAGTTACCACTAACATTACTTTCATGTTGTCCCCTCGTAATATGTGGGATGTTCTCCGACAACTGCAGTTTCTTCACGCAAAGTAAAACATTGCCGCAAGTCGACCTGGTCAGCAGATTGCAGTGCAGCAATTGAATGGTTGAATTAATCTGTGCGGATCACTCCGGCGCTAGCCCCGCGTAATGTGTGATGGCTTTTTTTCTTCTTCGGGCACCTTCAGATGCCATGTGAGACTCACTGATGATATCCTGGGTAAAAAGAAAAAAACAATTGACCAAATATCTGAATGTAAATTAGTTTGGTGATGCTATTGCGTTGGCAGTGGTGCACAAGCACAAATAAGAAGACAAAACTCAACCAATACGTTAATAATATTTCCTTAAATGGTTATATATCCTGTATTACCTAAAGTTTCGAGCAATGGCCTCTTTTCATTAACAAATAAATATCCGAATGCAACGACCTTTTATAAACGAGCCTGAATAATCAGTCGTGAGACTTTCCCGGATGAAATATTTTACTCAATTATTATTTCGTTACATAAATGTTCCAACAATTTTAATTATATTTACATTCTGTGTGTATATGTAATTGATATTTGCGCAATTGGATTCAGAACTCATAGATTCAAAACACAGGCGGTGGTGGTGCAAACAAGCCCAACTCGAGCCAAAGAGAATGAGGCGCTGTCCACGCAGCGGGTGCTGAAAATTGAGGTCTCATGGGTTTGAACGTAGCACCTGGCTGTAGAGTAAACAACTGGAGCCTAACAATAGTTCCACTGGTCACGTGAGCCTGGTGACCCCTTCTGCTAACGTTGGCTCACCCCAAAGTCATGTTAACGAGTTTTTTTTTGCTGTAATCAGCATTCTATGCTGTAACCAGATCCCCATAGAAAATGTGTGTTTATTGCTAAATGGGTTTTACATGAGCCCAAATCAAACTTTACCTCAACCAAAGCCTTCATGTATACTTATTTCTTGCACCTCGTTGTATTCGATACCTATGGAAAATAATATCGAGGGGGGTCTTGCTGGTGTGTGGTTTTAATTGAATAAGGGCATGGCACAGTCATTGATTCATTGGTTCAATCATCGCCCTTTTTGCGGATCATTGACATGTATAGACTTGCATGGAAACCCACAGGTCTACATAGACATACGTACGCTTACATACACGAGGGAGTAAATTAGGGAGTGAATGAGTGATGCTTTCGCAGTGGAGGCAATAAGGGAGTGATTTGAACAACACGCTTGAATTATAGCATGATGGAGTGAGTGACGGTTTACCAGCAGCGAATGAATGAATGAGTGACGATAACTGTTGATCTCAACGACTAATCGTGGAAGACAACACTGCAGCCAATATGCGCATGCGTTCGCTTTTGCCCAGAACCATCCACAGCGCAGCGCAAGACAAATACAAAGATCCCCCGTATAGCCTTAATAGACTTTTGGGGCAAGTGCTGTTTGCAAGCACCTATGAAGGCCAGAACGGCACACGATGGGTTGGTTGGCCAGAAACCACGCCCAGCCGCATTTGTCTCCCAAGTGGCGATATTTACACATCGCACTAGGTACTCACTTGAGGCTGAGTCGACCTAGGGGAGGCCCAGGATTGGTTAAGACATTCGTCACTGGTGTTGGCCGTGATCGGGAATCGAACTCGGGTGGCCGAGTTCGTGGTGCAGCGCGCTAACCGCTCTGCAAACGCAGCGTGCTCAGAGACACACAGACACACTCACCAGCACATACAGACTCGCTCGGCATAACAAACCCGCGCTCGCGAATTCGTTCATTCGTGCTCGTGGCGCAGGGACCGACAAGAGGCGGCGACTGGAGTGTGAGCGGAGGAGAAACAACAAGGCGGGCGGGCGAGCGAGCGGGGGGTGGGGTAGGGGGGGGTAGGTGATTGAAACCACGACAGCAGCAGAACAGTTACGCACGCCAGGCAGTCAGTCAGCTAGCCGGTCTCTCAGACAGAGAGCCAGTTATCCATGCCACTGATCAGTTAAGTCACCCGCTTAGCTCGCTATCCAATTTATCGGACGGGCAGCTATCCAGCTAAGCCAGCCTGCTCAGCTGGCTCTCCTGTCAGCTTTTCAGCCGATCAGCCAATTATTCAGTACACACACATGATTAGCCGACCAGCCACTCTCTCAGACGATAAGCTCGCCAGCTATACCGCCAGTTTACCTTGTTATGTCTTCATGCTATTTTATTATCATCATATCAGATTTCAAGCCAGTCAGTATTTCAGCCAGCCAGTTATTCTCTCAGAGGAAACTTCCAGTTTTTTTGAATCTCCCATAGTCAGCCAGTATCTCAGTCAGCCAGCTAAGGCGGTGTATACGGCTGGCGGGCAATCCGTTTCTCAGATTGACAGCGAGCGGCTATCTCAGCGAGTCAGCCAGTGGGTGTTCTGTTGTGTACTATATCAGCCGGTCATAAATGCAGTCAGGTGCGCGTGGATAGGTAGGCGTGTGCGTAGACCAGCAGGCAGACGGAGAAGCGATCAAGACAAAGCAACTGCCCACCGGCAGACTCAACATTCCTCGCGGAGACAGCGGCAGCTGCAGCAGCAGCAGCAGCTTTGGCTGTTTCGCCGCTCAGCCCTAGTCATCTGGACGTGCGTGGGAGCGAGCGAACGAGGCAACAGCAGAGGCAAGCCTGCGCGCTCGCCTGTGTGTCAATGTCTGTGTGTCTGTGTGGCTGTGCGTTTCTATGTGTATCTGAGAGTCTGCGTGCATTTTTGGGTCTGCGTTTATCTTTGTAATTGTATCTGCATGTTTGTGTGGATCTGAGCATCTGTTTGTATCTGTGTCTTTAGATGTATATGTGTGTGTGTCTGTGTATATCTATGCGTCTGTGTGTATCTTATGGTCTGTGCACCTGGGAGTCAATCTATGTGATTGTGTGTATACGCATGTCTTTGTGGATCTGAAGGTTTGTGTGTATTTATGTCTATGTGCATCTGGGGGCCTGTATTTATCTATGTGTTTACGTGTGCGTCTTTGTATGCGCGTGTGTGTCTGTCTATGCGTTGGGTGGAGCGGTGGCGCAGTGTTTAGCGCATCGCGCTTTGAATCCACCGACCCGAGTTCGATTTTTGACTACAACTAACATCAGTGGTGATTATTCCAAACAATTGCGGGCCTCTGTTATGTCGACTCAGCCTCAGATGAATAGCTGGTGTGGTGCATAAACATCGCCACGAGAGAGGCAAAGGCGCCCGGGCGTGGTGCTACCGCCCCCTCATGTGTCGTGCCGGGCTTAATAGGTGCTCGCTAACAACAGTAGGTTAAGGCTATACGGGGAATTTTTGTCTATGAACAAATGCACGTGTTTGCGTCTGTCTGTGTTTTTCTGCATCTCTGACTGCATGTGTCTGTCTTTATGTGTGTCTGCTTGTCAGTATGTTTCTGTGTGTTGTGTCGGTGTGTGTTTGCCCATCTGTTCGCTTAATTGGCCTCATACCCCACTTACTCATGCTTGTCTATCACGTGCCTCTCTCTAATGCCTATGTCTCCCCGTCTCTGCCCTTCCTGTCTAACTCACTCTCTGAATCCTGTGTCCTGCCCTCCTGGTCTGTCTCTACACGTCCCTCCCTGTCTCTCTCTCTGTCCCTGCATCTTCCTCCCTCCACGTCTCCATCCCTTTCACTCTGCTCACCCCGCGTCTGTCTCGTTCCCCGTATGTTTGCCTCCCATCTCCCCTGTCTCCCTTCATCTCTGTCTCTCTGTCTCATCTCCGCGTCTGTCTTTACCTACCGTGTCTCTCCCCAGCCTTCCCGTCTCCCTGTCTCGTCCACCATCCCTGTCTCAACGTCTCCCACCCGCCCTACCGCCTTCCTGCCTGGTCTCCCTCCTTGTCTCCCTCCTCCCTCTGTTCTCCCGTTGGCCACACCTGTTGGCTCTCGCTCAATACCATTAAATCGTGCCGCCTTTTGCCGCACAAGCGGTTACACATGGGCAACGTGGATGTTGAATTCGTTTACATTGAATTTGCGTTTTGTACCACTATTCATCATATTTTATGTCAGACCATTACACACAACAGCGATACGCCTCTCAATTACCAATATATCTGTACAATTATACAATGTATAATTGGTATACTCAGTGCTACAAATATTGAATGTCCGTGCAGATACATTTTAATTAATATATTTTTTAGCAATTGTATACGTGCAAGTGATTACAATAATTGTGAGTTAAACATGTACACAGGATATAACGTACTTTAGAATCACCGTGTACGTGCAAATTGATCTCTCCACATTAGCAGACTTCAAGTTGTAAATGCTGTCCGATGTCGTTCGGTATGAGTAGTGCTGCTTTCAACCTTGACGTTGATGCACGACATTGCCATTCGAAACTTGACCATGCACACAGTTGGCTTTGGATTTTTGCACGGTTTGTTTTGCTGTCGTGATCAGGTTTCTGTCACCAGGTCCCTTTCGAGAATGAGCATTCATTGCCGAATGAGTTTTACCCGTGCCGAAAACAAACCAACAAGCACCTAGCATTTGATGGCAAGGATTATGCAATAGATGTGCGTTACAAGTACTGCATCAAAATGGAATAATCGTGTTAATGCTGCACTGTTGTGTGAAGTTAACACACATTACAATGTTTATTTCATCCAAACACCCCGTCCATTCATGTATCTACCTCTTCTTCCCTCTCTCTCTCTCTCGCTGTGTACCCCACAATATCATCATTATGACTGTGCTCCATTATCATAAAAATAATCGTCACCATCATTATGCGTCGACGTTGTGATTGAATATAATCACGCGTCATCATCATCATCATCACGCAATGATCATGCGGGCACATTTTCACCATTACGTCATCATCGTCACATCATCAGTAAGGAGAAGAGAGGCTGCATTGACCACCTCCACCTCTTTCTTCTTCAACACCCCTCACCTCCTCCCTTTTGTTAGAATATTACACCTCCACCGCCTCTGTTTTTTTCTTCATATTTAACCACCTCCTCATTCACGGCCACCATCTCCTTGTCCACCTCTTCTACGATAACAGAATCCACCTCATATCCACGTTCTATATCCACCTCCTTCTCCACCTCCTCCTCATATAAACCCTTTTACCTTCACAACCCCCACCTAGTCATCCGCTCTTACTCCCACACCACCGCCATCTCATCATATCCACCTCTTTCACCTCATCCACAAGCTGCACTTATCACCCCCACCACCTGCGCCCACCGGCTCCTCGTCCACTTCCTCGACGCTCGCCTCCCAGCCTCGCGTCACAGCAGGAGGTGGCGCCGGGGTGGATGAGGTGAGAAGCCCTGGAGGCGCTGACGATGACCCAGGGCGCGTGGGGGGTCGGCTCTCGGGGGTGAGAGGCGCTCTCATGAGGCCGGGAGCTTCAGTGTAACGAGGTGAGTGTCTCCTGGCTGTCTGTCTGTGTCTCTGTGTCCCTCCCCCAATCACCGGTGTCTCTCTGTGCATCTTCGTGCCTCTGTGTTCTGCTGTCTCTATCTCGCTGGTGGTCGCTAGCAGCAATTGCCGCAACAGTCTGGTAAGGTTATGTGGGGGATCTTTTTTTTTGTCTATCTCGCTGCATAATCTGAGTCGACGTCTCTCCGCTCCACGTGGCCACACGAACGACCGATATCAGGTTTTTTTGTTGTCGTCCAGCGCCTGCCCTAGGCAAGACTCAGCCCTTAAATGCGTGCCTGATGCAGTGTGAAGCATCATCATCATCGCGGGAGACAAAAACGGCCAGATGTTGGGCTGTTCAGACCCCAGCCCCCCACCCCAACGTATGCTGTACCATTCTATTCGATGTTCGCTACCAACATTCTGTGTCAGGCTACACTGGCGGCTTTATTTGGCAATTAAGCTCTTAATATACAATTTTTATCTTGGAACGAGCGCTATGTTTTACTTGTCTTCAAGTGAATGTGAAGCTTCAGTGCACCTAGCCTGGCACTGGCGCTGTGGTGACATAGCTCACATTTAGTGGCAACTGGCGGTTTGTGCGTATATGTCTTTGTTGTTCTCTTTGGGAAGCGGTAGCACGCTACGTTACGCACCCAGCGATCCGAGATCGATTCCCACTCGCAGCCAACACCAGTGACGGTTATCTGAACCGGTCCTGGGTCTTCCCCAGGTCGACTCAGCCTTAAATGAGTACCTGGTGCGGTGTGTAAACATCGCCAGTAGCCATCCGCCTCCTCGTGTACCGTGCCGGCCTTCACGGGTGCTCGCAACAGCACTTGGCCCAACAGTCTGTTAAGGCTTTACGGGGAATCTTTGTCTATGTCTGTGCCCATGTACACGCGTGGCAGTTTGTTATCATCTGTGCGTTTATCTTTGTCCATCTCAAAAGAAAACCTCAATAGGTTCTGCCGTCTTCAAATAAAGGCAATCAATCAATCTAGATAATGCATCTCAAACGGCTCTCACTTGTTTAAAGGCCAGCAATCAATCAAGAGAATGAATCTCAACAGGACATCACATCTTAAAATGAAGAACATCAAACTATCAATCAAGATAATTAATCTCAATGACCCCTTCTCCCTTCTACTTGTGCAAAGGACACCAATCATAATGGTGGCATACCAACCAAAGGTGCTCAATTGGTTAAATAAAGGACATCATCATCGCCATCACAAGTTGTGAATTATGAAATTACCTTTAGATAAATTAGATAAATCTCTCCTGAGATGGGCAGAAGCCTTGCGTGAGAATAGAGAGTAAAATTAATCTCAATGGGCACTCACTCACTTGGACCAAATATAGACCGTGGCTTTGTATTCCCGTGGCCTTGGCTTGCCAAATAGCAAATCGGAAATTGTTACAACCTTGCTGCTGCTCAGTTGAGATGCGCTCTCTCTAAGCCGACACTGGCGTCCACGGGTCCTTAACAGCCTGCGACATTCAAGCACTACAAATATTCCCCGTATAGCTGTGAAAAATGTTTCGGACAAGTGCTGTTAGCGAGCATCTATGAAGGCCGGAACGGCACACTAGGGGGTGGGTGGTCAACACCACAACGCCCGGCCGCCTTTGTCTCCCTAGTGGCGATGTTTACACATCGCACCAGGTACTCATTTGAGGCTGAGTCGACCTACGGGAGGCCCAGGACCGGTTCATATAATCGTCACTGGTGTTAGCCGTGAACGGGATTCGAACTAGGGTCACAGTGCGTTAATCACTTTGCTATCGCTCCCCGCGGACACACCACACACACACACAGCACGGTGACACCCCTACCTACTACAATATGAATGCATGTAGTGTTTTCTTTATTACTGCATCTTGATTTGCCTCTTGTATTGAGCTGTTCGAATGATCTAAGTTAAGCGATTTGGGGTGGTCGTCCAATTTTCATGATCCTGAGTCATTGCCTTTCCACTGCTGAATTAAGGCCTCCCCCAACGTCGCCACCCTTCACGGTCTCGCGACGCCCCCAAACCCGTCTCGCTCCTGCGCTAGAGTTGTTGATCTAATCGCTCCGTCGTACACTGCGGCGGTGCTGGTGGTGGTCCTTTTTGAGCCCGTTCCCTCCATTGGCTGCCACTGCCGTCGTTCCACCTGGTCGTGGCGCGTCCTGTCCAAAGGCCACCAGATAGTTATTTTTTAACAGTCCATGCGAAGTCTCCAATTTAGGATTTGATCGCTTGGCACCACGCGCTCCTTGTTCTCCTGTCCCTCGGTGTCATTCCAAGCGTTCCAGAACAGACCGTACAAACATATAACGATGCAATGCCCGATCCACAAATACGAAGGCGACATCACGGCAACACACTCCGCCACTGCTCCTGCCGCGGTCATTATCTGGCTTCACCACCTGGATGTGAAATTGTACTTGTTGCTCTGCATCTGCATAAGCCATACGAAAGAGTTAGAAGATTCCAAGCGTACATCCATCCGCGCGCCTCTGTCCCATTGTCCTTGTGAGCGGTCACGCTTCCGAACAGCGTCACAGCGAAAAACTCAACGCATTCGTCAATAACGCCGCGTGGCCTAAAAAGAACAGATATATAATAGGCGACGTTTCGGGCAATGACCCTTCTTTATCGTACATACATTGCACAGCGGGTAACGTGCACCGATGGAACACTTTCTTCCGTCTGTTTGTATGTATGGTGCTCAAAGGCAAAATGTAGCACGCTAACAATATGACAAACACACAGCTTGACAAACGCATGAAGTCAGACGCGGTGACGCCCGCCTGTGATTCGGCGATTTTGGGGGGGGGGGTTGATGGATCACGCATAGGCTTGTGCTACAGGGATGGCAGTACATTAAGTCGGTACGTGAATATTCCTCCAGTATAAATATTCTGATTCTGATGCTCTGCATGTTATCCCCACGTGTGCATTGCGGATTTTCTCCGGTACTCTGGTTTACTCCAACACGAATGCACTTCTTATTTAAACAAATTAGGAAACGTTTCACGTCTACGCGTGGATTATGTAATGCATTTCAGCGTGCGCTGCCAGTCTTCGGAAGAATTCAATTAGCGGGATGGGGAGCAGGCGGGTAGCCGTCAGGGAGAGTTTGTGTCCAAGTTTTGGGCACCGTTTTCATCAATTTGGCCGGTTTTCAATGCGGCAAGTCTCCAATAGCAACACAATGTTATACTGCAGTCTGGTACGTTATTTACGAGAGTTCTAGTACGCCACGATATCCTCCCCCTCTCATCTGACCCTCAATTGGGGCGGACTAACATAACGCATTGCCGCTTTCAGCTTGAGTTAAAATACGTTGCAAAGGCATTGGCTAAACGTCCCATTGCAGAGTGAGTCACCCTGATATCGTGTCCTAAAGCTCATTGAGCATTTATTCGGGATAAACAATAAGATGATGACGATTATTATTATAATTGCGAAATCAAAATTGATGCGTTATTGACTGATTGATTGATTGAATGAATCCCCGACCCGACCGCAGGCATGAATCGTCGCACCTCTCGCTCCACGTGTTCGCTACCTCCCGATCCTCCACGGGTCCCGCAGGACCTCGGTAACAACAACAACAAGAACAGCGACGGCATCGGTAGCCACCACCAGCAGCAGCCGTACCCCGCGCACTCACGGCGAGTTCGCATCAACGTCGGGGGCATTACCCACGAGGCACTTTGGCGAACATTGGAACGCCTCCCACGAACACGCCTGGGCAGACTGCAAGCCTGCGTGGTGGGCAGCGAGGAGGCCATCATGGAACTCTGCGACGACTACAGTCGAGCAGACAACGAGTTCTTCTTCGATCGACACCCGGGCGCCTTCACGTCAATCCTGAACTTTTACCGCACGGGTCGCCTTCACATGATGGAGGAGATGTGCGCGCTGTCCTTCAGCCAGGAGCTCGACTACTGGGGCGTTGATGAGATCTACCTGGAGTCGTGCTGCCAGGCGAGGTACCACCAGAAGAAGGAGCAGATGAACGAAGAGCTGAGGAGGGAGGCGGAGAGCGCGCGGGAGCGGGAGGGGGAGCAGTTCGACGCCACGTACTGCGCGGAGAAGCGCAAGAAGCTGTGGGACCTCCTGGAGAAACCCAACTCCTCCCTGGCGGCTAAGGTGGGTGCGTGCGATGGTGATGGTGGTGGTGGTGATGGTGAAGATGCTTATGGTGGCGATGGTGATGATGGTGTTGTTGGTGGTAATGATGGTGGCGGTGATGATGACATTAAATGGTGGTGATGATGATATTATTGGAAGTTAATTATGATATTTTTGACGATGATGCTGATGAGAGTTGTATTGATGATGAATACTATTGTGATTTTAATTATTACTAACAATCCCCACACCCTTTGGACGTGATCGTTTATTCGTCCTTACCTCTAGCCAGCAAACCTTTTTTTCTAATATTTTCTTCATTATACTGGTGATGGCGGCGATGGTGATATTGATGATGATAATTACGATGTGTTGTTATTGAAGGCGTTGCTAATGACAGGGACATTATTATTTTGGGGGGTTATGTTGTTCTTATTTACAGTGTTTGAGAAATATTAATGAAGTTGATGATGCTGATCAAATTACTACAGATGATGAGGATAAACACGTATGTGTATAAATGTAACCTGGTTATCACACGAATATCTTTATCCAAAGAGTACGATAATAATGATGATCATCAACAACAGTAGCATCACCACAGCCGTCATCCTTATCAGTAGCAGCAGCGCCAACAAAGACAAAGATCCCCCGTATAGCCTTAACAGACTGTTGGGGCAAGTGATGTTAGCGAGCAGCACCTATGAAGACCGGAACGGCACATAAGGGGGTGGGGTGGCCAGCACCACGCCCGACCGCCTTTGTCTCCCCTGTGGCGATATTTACACATCGCACCAGGTACTCATTTGAGGCTGAGTATACCTAGGGGAGGCCCAGGATTGGTTAAGACATTCGTCACTGGTGATGGCCGTGATCTGGAATCGAACGCGAGTCGCCCGGTTCGTAGCGCGGCGTGCTCACCACTACACTACCCCTCCTCACTAACATCACCATCACCACCATCACACGTAGCAACACCACCATTGATAGTCGTAGTATCAATACCATCATTAATAGCAACATCCCCACCAACAACAGCCGCCATTTGCCACGAAATTAAAGTAACGTCACCAGAGTGCTTGTGCCAAGCGAGGTGCACTGTGAGGCCACGTGCAATGTCGAAGGCTCGCTGGCAGGAGGTCACGGGACGACCACTCAGGGCCCTCGCCACCACCCAGGGCCATCCAGAGGTGTAGGGGTGGGGGACAAGAGGGGGGAATTGGCACGGGCCTCACACAAAAGAAGGCCCACAATGGGCCTGTTTTTTTTGTTTTGTTGTCGTGACATTCTGCCCCGGGCCTCAAGTCCCATGCCTCTAGGGACATCTGTGGCGGCCCTTCCATCACCGCTGCTGCCACCACCAACGCTAAAAGTTGCAGCACTATAAACACCATCAAAAGTAGCATCATCATGACCACCACCACCACGAAATGTATCAGCAGCACCACCACCGTCAAAGACAGCATCACCACAACCACCACCAAAAGTATCAGCAGCACAACCACCACCGCCATTAAACGTAGCATAATCACCACCACCACCATCAACTGTAGCTGCAGTACCACCACCACCAACATCATCATCAAACTCCTAGCCAATACAACCACCCTCCCCGCCATCCATCACGGAGCCGTGCAATTTTGTTCCCTCCGCGTCGCGTGCAGAGCGCATCGGAAACTCGCGTCTGGACGCGCCTGTCACTGTAGCCCATTGTTGTGTGCAGTACAAGTCGCGGTCGTGGCTTTAAATTTGTCTGTTGTGTTTTTCTTTCTTTCCCCGTCTGTTTTTTTTGTTCATTTGCCGGGAGGCAGGCGTGGGCCACCTCTGTTGTGCGCGTGTGTTGGTGGACGGGTTTTTTCTTCTTCTTCTTCTTTTTCTTTCTTTCTAGACGTCCAAGTGACCGATTGTCCCTTCCATTGTCTCACCTGCCCTCGCCTGTCAGGGAGGGGGGCCCTCGTCTTATTAACGACGGCGGTGCAGGACCGTGATGTTTACTGAAGGAGTGGGGAGGGGGCACAGAAGACCGCGCGGGTTTTTTTTCCGTGTGCGGCCGCGTGTTACTCTACAGCGCGCTGCAACCGCAGCGAATGTCAACTTGTAACGCGCTGCCGCGCAGAATTAGCTCATTCTCGTCGAGAGAAGGAATGACAGACGAGCAAGAGAGCCAGCGACCAAGCAGTGAGCCGGCGCCAAATCAGCCTCCGCAAGCGCTGCGGTTCTCTATATATGAAGATGTTATCGGCCAATTAATTGGGGTTTATATAAGGGAGGAAACCGGAACACCTGGAGAAACACCACACGTGCGAGGGGAGGGGTGCAACACTCCATCCCATACAGGCGGAACACGTGGAGTCCACATTTCGCTGTACCGTCTTCTGCTGGCGAGCCAGGGTACGGCACCTCGATGAGGTCCACGGGAAGGGAGTTGCAGAGCATTTGTGTGATCCACCAACCCTTCACAGTGCTGGATTACAGGCCACGTCCTGGCCCACTATCGCTGCCCGGCTGCATTAATCTCATCATCATCATCATCATCGGGGTTTTTCAATATGATCCTAGTCATTTTCGAGTGTAGTCATTGTTCTTACATATAAATGAAGATATTTCACCTGGAACACAACCCTTTCAGATGTAACACTTCGTCTGCACGGGTTGTCTAGGGTATCATCGAGACACGCATCATAGCAAACACGTGGTGACACCGAGTACAGAGTACACACATTTTAAATGTTTAACTTGTATGGCTTGCAATGAATATCACACACACACCCAGTCAAAACATATTTGCGTACATAAACACATAAATAAAATAATTACATTGGGCACTATTTTTATAAAATGTAATAATCTTTATAATCATGAATTTAGTGACCTTTTAATGATGATGACCATCATGAAGATCCACAAATAAACGCAGCACACTTGTCAATAACACGACTCTGTGGCCTTCGTCAAAAATAATATTTACAAGAGACGACGTTTCAGGCAATGACCCTTTTGTGTTACGAAGGGCCATTGCCCGAAACGTAACTTATTTTTGTTTTGTTCAGGGCACACACACACATAGTTGTTAATAACGAACGTGTTGAGTGCTGTTGTTGTTGTTGTTCATTGTGCTTATGCACCACTGCCAACACAGAAGCAGCAAGCATCACTAAATAATGAGTATCATCAAATTTGTGTTTTTGTGTCAATCATCGTAACCCGCTAACAGGTGTACTCGGCACCGTCGTCATTATTCTCGTCATCATCATCATCATCGTCCGTTTTCGCAATGCTGCCCGACAATAAGAATCGCAATCACAATCCAGTAACCGTGCCCTGAATGGGAATTTTCATCAAGCCTCGTAATGCTGCTGCACGCACGCACGCACGCATAGTCATACTCTCTAGAAATTCTATATATATAAAAAAACAACCAGTCAGCATAATTACATTTCTAAATCACGATTTGACGATAATAATGATCACGTATCTAATTGCGCTATTTTCATGAATAAAGTAATAATTCCGTCAACGTTGCGAGGACGAATAAGTAAAACTCTCCGCGTGCTCGAGAGCAAAACAAACATGATACAGACACCCACTTGCTGTACTCCCCTCTCCAGGCACCCGCAGGTGGGTGCCTCACACACACAATAACAACATCTCTACGCAATCCATCAACCCAAATGATGACGAAATGCATGCTGCTGCTGGTTCTACTCATGGTAATCATGTTGCTTCACTAACTGATGCTGATAATGCGGCCTCCGCTATTGCTGGTGACGCTACCCCTGATGCGGCGTCTCAAGATGCTGCTGATGCTACTGTTTATATTTCCGCCGCCGACTGATGCTGCTGCTAATATTCATGCCGCTGCATATATTTGCATACTGCCTCGACTGACGCTACCGCTACCATCGCTGATGGAGGATAACCGTGATGCTCCTCTTGATGTTGATGGAGAGTGATGCTGCTGGTGCAGATGGATGATGATGATGATGATGACGACGACGAAGAAGCTGATGCCAGTGATGCTGCTGCTGCTGTTGCTGATTAGCCAATGGGTTTGCCTCAATGTCCCGCTACCCTGACTGCACGCAACCCATTCCTATATGGAGCTCAGACCATGACAAGACGACGCTGCGGGCAAAGATACGTGGATGGGGGAGGTGGGGGGAGAAAATTGGGGGGGGGGGGTATGGGGGGGATAAGAGGTGGGGGAAGGGATACAGAAGGTTGTAGTTTCTGCTCTAAAAACCATTCCGTTGCCATGGAAGCCGTTGCCAGGCAACGTGAGCACGGAGCACACGCACACACGCATTGCCTGTGAGGCACAGGGAGGTTCGGGGTCGTGGTCTGGTTTAGCGTTCGTGGTAGGGCTCGGGGTCTGGCATAGGGTTATGGTGAAGAGCAGAGGTGGGGTTGTTGTCATTATTAGGGGTCGGGTTCATGGTAGGTGTCGTGTCAGGAGTAGATATATGGTAGGAGTAAGAGTATGTTTCCAGTAGTGGTTAGGGTTAGGGGTTGGCTTATGATTTTGGGCAGTGTTAGGAGTAGATATTGGGGTTTTAGTTATGAATAGGGTCAGTGTATGGGTAATGGGCAGTGGTAGGGATAGGGTTCACGTAAGCTTTCGGGTTGGTATAAGGGTGGGGTATATGGGTAAGGGTTATATATGGTTAGGGTTAAGGGTATGAATAGGAGTATCGTTAGGAGTAGGCGTAGCATGAATAATAGGGTTAGATCAGAGGGTTCTGCCAATGGTTTGGGTGAGGGTTAGGTGTCGAGTTTTGGGTAGACATGTAGGAGTATGATTATGGGTATGTCACGAGTCGTGTTCGGGGTATGGGTTACGTTTGGGTAGGATGTTGGGTAGTATTTTGGGGGATATACACAGACCTTTTGTCAATCCACTGCTAGATGACAGCCTTGTCACACCGTCCACGTCATGGGAGTGATTTGACCATAGGGGCCGTCCATAAATGACGTCACGCACCTGGGGGGGGGGGGGTCAGACATTTATGACGATGTGT